ATTAGGTCTATATAGTTTAGTTATTCTTATCCAATTCATAATTTCACGTGACCATATCAGGGTAAATGGCGTTTGCGCATCAAGTTGAAGTAGAGTAAAAGTATGTAAGACTGGACCTGCAATAGATTTCGTTTAGAGAGCAGGGACATGTATTAAAGCCCTTGTGCCCCAAATGGTTTCTTTTGCGCGCTACTATTGCATTTAACAAGATTGTAAAAATACTTAAAGAGTTTTAAGATCCCTTTTCCTATTTCTTTTCCACGTAGGTAATATACAACATTCGCGATCCGCAATTTCAATATGATGGTATTTTTTTTAATTATTCGGATTTATATATTTACGTTATTCAATACGCTTCACAAATCATTATAAATATATAGCGTATTGAATAACGTAATGAATCTAAGTTTTGCGATGACTTATTACTGTTATTGGAAGCTCATGAAACACTCAAGTTGCTACAGGAGCTTTTCGCATGTTGAGAGTGCAGTTTGTTTGTTCGGAAACATATCCATTTACAACATCTTAGAAGATAAAGTTTAGTGGAAGAGAATCCCACTTGATATCGAAGCTAATTTCTTTTGAACTAGACAAAACATCATATTGGGTTATTTGGCAATATTTTAAAAACTTTAAAATGTAAATTATTTACTAATGATTTTAAACCTACACAAATTGATATTCTAATTCTGATGGCCTTAAAAATTTAAAAAGTAATAATTTCAAGAATCCGCAGTTTCAAAACTAGTGTCGAGTTCCTACGACGTTATACGTATTATTCTTAAATTGCCCAAATTCACTTATTATTAACTCCGATTGTAAAGTAAAAATAATTATTTTTGTTTATAAATTGTCTAATAAATTGATGTACAAGCTGTTGTTTTACTCCATAAAAGTATCAGTTGAGGTAATCGTCAAATTGACATCAAGTAAAGCATTGCATTCCTATATTAAATAACAGACAGTTGAATTCTTGTGAATTCAATTAGTGTCAAACTAAATATGTCTGTCCTTACCGCAATATTTTTAAATGTGTGCAATAATGCGTAAGTGGTAAGCAAGTTAGTTCGCGGCACAGCCAGCAATATATGCCGTATCCCATGTATAGTGTCGTTTGTAATTCGTACTCGCAGCCAAAACCTTTTTAACACATCTGTATTATGTATTTTTGTAATGCAATGCAATTCAATAGTCAATCCTCTGGTGTCCCGACTCAAGCTTCTTATAGATTTTGAACCAGTTAACATTTTATTGCGTTTCCTATTATTGCTTCTTATTACAACTTAATACAAGAAATCGGAAATTATCCTCCTCACAACTCGGATTTCTTCGGTATTTACGCTGTTAACTCTTTTGATATCTAGTACATGTGCGTATCAAGGTCTGTCATGGTTCATGGTAGCCGCAAGCTGCAATCCGACACATTGTGTGGCGCCCGCATACTCCCACGGACTCCTGTTACCATATACTTGTCTCCTTCACACCACGGCCACTTATAACGTACTTATAACAATCGGCTCTTGTTCTTCTTATTATGAATGCGTAACACGTGTGTCAACTGTCTGCTAGCCTCGAAACAAAGTCCGTTAATGTGTCGTAAAAAAGTATATGTTGAATTTCAACAGCGTTTTCCACAGATTTTGAGACTTGGTTTCCGAGGCTTTGTGTATCTGCTCTGCAGAATTTTTAACTGCCTACAAACAATATTTTAAATAATAATATATAAATTTAACAAATGTCATTAGTCTAATTTTGGCAGTAGTAGCCAAAGTTTGTCGTTTAGTTTATGCGGAATATTAAGTAAACTAGAATGTCTATCGTTGAAGTTCCAACCACAATATTATAATTTTAATGTAAGTATATCTAGACTTTGTTAAAATAACGTTCAATAAAGTGAGAATCCTCACAAGCGTTTGCAATATACTTAGTTACTGTACATATAATGCCGTTAGTGTAGAACGCGACATTACGTTAAGGTCATTGAATTATATTTTATATATATGTACATGTCGTTTAAAAAGTACCAAGATATATGTAATGTAAAAAAAGAAAAAAAAACCTAATATATAGCGCATTCCTTTAATTTTTTCAAAAAAAAATTAAATATATCGCTAGCAGTTGCCGACTATAACAGCACCGCTGTAAATTCGGATGGTTAGTTTTTATTAATAACATTATGCATTAACTCTAATCAGAGAAGCAATAAAAAAGAAAATAGATCAAATAATGTTGTAATGTTGTCTACTGGTAGATAAACGGCCGTTGTAAATTGTAATATATTCATAAATTATAACTCATTTAATAAGAAGCCGAACAAATAGGTTAATGTGATTTGTTCTTGTACTGCATTCACAGATAACTATTGTAAAAAATACTTAGTGTGATAAATAATTATCATGTTAGGTTTAGTTTCGTTATGATTATGTGCTTTATGAAAAAAATACCTTAATTTGCCGGTCTTAACAGTATTAAGTCACATCAAGATGTAAATCATTAAGAAGTCTCTAATAAAAGCTATATATACAATATTTTCTAAAATTCAACGAGAATTTCTTTGGTAAATATTCCGTATCGCGGCACCAGCGATTTTGAGGCTGACTTTTTATGACTTCGTCATGAGTTCTCAGCACCATATCTAGTGTTGTTATGATGGCGCATGACCTTTTTTGCCAAAAAAAAAAATCCAAAGAGTACCCAAAACCGAATCAGAGCACCTCACTATCCACGTGGTTTTGTCTGCCTTACCCCTTGAGTGTATATAAAAAATCGGAGAAAGAGGCACAGGCATTTTATTCCTTTTCTTTGCTTTTTTTCCTTGTGCTTTGGTACGCAAGGGCGGACGGGCTGCATTTCCCGCAGCGCCGCGCCGCCGTATAAAAAACCTATTATTAATATTGTTCGGTTAGGTTCGTATATTAATATGTTTTTTAAATAGATAGAATTTTTTTTTCATGCGCCATCAAAACAATACTAGTTATGATGTTTACAGATCATAACGCGACTAAAAAAAAATCTGCCTCAATATCACTGGTGCCGCGATACGGAATATTTACCATTTCTTTTGTTAGCGTAAAATATTTTATTTAGTAAGTGTTGTCTACAGTTATGACTTTTAGCAGTTTACATAATACTCGAGCCTGACGGTTGGATGACCTACATAAAAGGGTTAACGATTAATTTAATAAACATTTTTAACTGAAAATTCAATAATTGTATGATACTGTAAGGTAAGGATCTCGTTGTAAATTACTTGAGAATTTTACAACGTTAAAGGTAAAATTAAGAATATTAAGAATTAAAAGCCTCATTATTGCTATGACAGTATAGAAAGGCATTTAATATTGTCTTTTATTAGCGGCAGTATTGCGCCAACAAGTTTTGTTTTGAAATAAAATTGTATCTAAATAAAACTTTCGAAATTTAACGCGTCGAAACTATTTTATATAGTTTGTTATAATTGTAGAGAGATAATATGTAAGATAATTGTAGATGTTAGAATATTAAATAAGAAATGTACATTGTTTTAAGACGACATTGTCCTTGTTTAGAGGCTTAATGTTAAACGTATGTATCAAAGTAATATATAATATATTATATACATAATATCACTTTCACATTTTTAAAAAGATATTAAAAACTTTCAAGTTGCACAGAAGTTGAAATTGTTTAACGGAAACCGACTCAAGTTAGTTTTGTCCATAGCTTGTCAAATTTTTTTATTCACACTTTCACTTCACTACTATTTCTGTAACTCAAATACAACAAGATCCCCTTAATATTTAAACCATTTAAAGTAAGATAATTATAAATCCATAGTTTATAAGACATCTGGCTATCGGAGGGTGGCCTTATGCGTCGAAAGTCATTAAATAGTTTAATAAACCGGTTTTAAACACAGTTAGTATTTTGTCCTTCACTTTTGATTGCATAACACCTACTTATTATTGTTAATAGGTGATTAGCTAGTCATTTATTCCATTAATAATATTAAAATACCATTAATGATTACAAAAATAAATACAGATGTTAAGCCAGCTGCCAGCAGCCACTTAGGACGTTTCGTCATTTTTGGTTTAATGTAAAGATTTCCACTAAAACTTATATAGGTAGTATTGTACGCAGGATTAAAATTTAAAGTAAAGATTGAGATGAAAAATCTTATTTCAACTTTCTATCGCATCTTAGTAGATAGTCAAAGTTGTTTGGTAACTCTTTAACTATAGCTTAGCGGCGCAAGCGCACGCGACTCCGTGTCGTTGACCCTGCTGCCCTCGCCCCACCTCCATGGCCCCTTGCTTTTCAAAATCAGAATTTAACGGTCAAATGGATTTGTACGATAATCAGATACTTAGTACTGCTTAACATTGTTTATATATCTGTATGAATAATGAATTAAATATCCATGGAACATCCTCATGTCAATACTGTATATTAAAATGTAGTTTTATATATGTATATACTAAAAAAACACTCTAATACAGCTTTTTAAAATTTAACCATGTAATTTAAACATACTCTTGAAATTCTATAAATAAAAAAACTATACTTGATACGAAAATTAAATTATAATTGGCGTATTTAATTGCTTATATTCATATTTCTCACTGGAATATTACGGTGAAAGTTTATTTAGAAATTTCTACAAATAATATTGTAGATATTTTATTTGGAAGTGGCAAACCTGTTTGACTACTAAAATCTCCACAATTTCCTTTGTTGACCACAATTATCATTTAAGAACTATTTGTGCACCCAGAAAACGGCAGTGCTTTTTAACTGTAAGATTCTAGTAAATGTTAAAGATTTTGTTCACTTTTATATAATTTACGATTGAATGTAGCTGTTTGAAATTCAATTCTTGGTTAGATACAATAAATTAAAAAAAATACACCCGGTATTAACATTTTGGCGCTTATCTTTACTTGATTACTCCGCTAGTTCTCCGACCAAAAAGGTGCCTTGGCCTCCATAAAGCTATCCCTGTCCTGAGCTAATTTTTAATGTTTGTTTTTATATTTATTACAGTCATCGGAGTGATTCGTTGTGATGATGAGCAGCACGACTCGCGGGAGGGTGACGACGTCACCATGCAGTGCAGATTCGGTTCCGAGGTGAATCCTGGTGATTCACCAACCTACTACTGGGTGCGGAGTACAGCCAGCGGCCATGACAATGTGGCAATAGGAAATATACCCCTTGAAACTAATTATAAGTGAGTAGACAAGCTAACACGTCTTGTGATAATAGAGTGATATTAAGTAAAAATAAAATATGTTCCCGACCCCTTGAACTAATACACATTTGTTATTTATGTGCTAGCTGACACACAACGTAGTGGTCTATGTGGTTTTTCGACATATACGACACCAAAAGCCGGCAGTCAGTAGTAGATAATTTAAGGGAGAAACTAGAGTTTGTTTCACTTATATTATAGAGTTAACCAAACCACCTTATTCTTAAAAACTAAGTCAGTCTGATATACAAAAAACAGTGTTTTACTCAAAGTAAAAATAAGCACTCGTTTTTCTTATTTGTTGACTAAGACTTTTATTTCTCTCTTGAAGTCTCTGTAGCAGATAATTCCCATTAATTCGTGTAGCGGAAAAATTGCGAGGAATTCAGTAGTAATAAAATAACAAGTTGTGGTTTTCTTTGTAAATTCAAGTATTTATTACTCTGGAAAACTTAATCTTTACTGATACTCGATTGAAATCTTTTACTATGTTTTATAACTAAATACTGTACATTAAACAATACAATATATCCAGTGTAATTATTATGAGTGGTCGAAATATTGCATTGTATATTCAAAACTGCTAGGTATAAATTTTAATTGCACTTGTAAAAATAAAAACAGGTGTCGTATGTCCTACACCTCTTTACATTTCGTATAGTAACAAACCCTTAGTCATTGCAGCTTAATAGAGCTTTCGTAGATATCATTGATACATTTTTAAAGATTTATCTTACGCGAGTCAAGTTGCTTTACTGTGACCTAAATTTTTGTAAAACACACGAGGAGATAACTTATTCAGTTGGGAAGTAATGATATCACATGATGCGCTTGAAATATATTGCGACCTATCAAAGGCGTTTGACTGTAACCACCATTAAATCTTAATTTAATCATTTAATCTTAAATCTTAATCTGAATTCAATAAACTGCACCACTCTGGCGTTGATAGAGCTGCTTGTAACCTGCCGCTTTATACTTCAATGGTCGGATCTAAAGAGTAGATGTTAACAGTTTTTGCGGCTGATTTCTCGGAAATATGAACTCAACTGGCAACTAGCTAACATTAATGTATTTAATTAGAAACTCTTTATTCCAAATCATCTTTGAATCTAGTAAAACCAACGCATTACATACTCTTTGCTTGCTAGTGTATCGATGGAAGCTGGTTAATATACCAAACGCCTTGTTACAGAGTAATATACGCTCCGTCAGAGGGACGATACGATTTGATGGTGTCAAATGTATCGTACGAGCGTGACAACGGGAGATTTGAATGCCGTATAAAGGCAGGTGGTTCGGGGAGGACGATGCACTCGCAGGGACACAGTTTGGTGGTGCTCACTCAGCCGCAGCCGCCACTCCTGAGTCCCGGCACGCATGCACAGGCGCAGGAAGGTCGGGAACTCAATTTAACCTGCTCGACGACAGGTGGATCGCCTAGCCCTGATATCAAGTAAGTGTTGTAAATACTCAAAATCCTGAACACAATTTAAAAGTAGGCTTTTAAATTGTGATATGTATAATGTATTTATACTAAATACACGAATGTCCACATTTAATTTGTTTTTTATTTAAGAAAATAAAATTCAATCTATTACTATACTTATAGCTGAAATTATTAACAATTTTATATCGAATATTTATTTTCATCACGGTTTCTTGTAAACCAATAATGATCGAATATCGAATGTCCATACACATATACCTAGGTATTAAAAAGTTTAATGAGCAATTAGAGAATTTAACATACACAACAAAAGTTTAAATATATAATAATAGATTTATGTTATTTAAACTTTTGTTGTGTATGTTAAATTCTCTAATTGCTCATTAAACTTTTATAAATATATAAAAAAATTATGTTGGTTTGTGTACGCTTCAAAAACTCAAAAAGTTCTGCACCGATCGAGCTGAAATTTTAGCATGACATCTACTCCGCATCAAGGATTGTTTTTTCACAAATATTGCAAAATTAAACTTATATGAAATGTTTTCTCTGTTTTGTTTCTCATTTCTCAATCATTCAATCACAATGTGCCACTGCGAAGCGTAGCAGGGAACAACTAGTATTACAATACATTTTATATATGATGTTATTAATTAAGCCGACAAAGTGTTCATAATGTTAACTCTTGTACTAAATGTTGTTGTTAATTTTTCTGTACATACATGGGTTTTTATTTTTCTTTAATACACCTATTGTTGATTAGGTGGTATCGGGATGGCACTACGTATCCACTAGAGGCGAGTGTGATCAACGGCAGGACGCGGGTGCAGCCTTCAGTGGCCATTCTTACCCTGGCTCCTAGCAGAGAGGACGATGGAGCGAGTTTTCGCTGCGTTGTATGGAACCGAGCGATGCCTGAAGGACAGAGACTAGATACAACTGTTGAATTAAGTGTAAATTGTAAGTACTCTTTCTTTTAGCTTGATAATTGTTGTTCTCGAGAAAGGCTTTTGAGAAATTTAAAGCTGAAGAAACAAACAAACTGTATTTATGAATATCATAAACGAGGGCTGTATAATAAATAGTGATAATGCGATACATTCTCCTCGAACGGAAAAAAATAAACAGTGTCAGGCATAAGATATAGTAATAATAATAAAAGCAACGAAATATGTTTTTTTTTTTAAAAGAAGTAATTTGTTTCCGTCGTGTCGGAACGTGTTCATAAGGCCGTTTCTCCACTGCTCCGGTCCGCAAACGATACCGAAACCGATTTAGAAACTTACAACAGTTCTTACGTACTTCTCCACTACTCCGGCATCCGGTTTTTAACGATCCGATAACTTGCTAGATCGGAACGCGGTGTTTTATCGGTCCAAGTATATCCAAGTATCCAAGAGGTTATAAATTATTATTCACAGGTTTATTTATAGTTTCTTTAACTTGAAAGAATCTGGATAACCTGGACCAAACCAAATTATGTTGCTATTTATTTATATTTTTATACCATAGTATTAGTGAACTATTTATTAAGTAGATTATAATATTTATTTTAAGATAGACAATATAAAAAAATAATAATAAACTTGCCAGGGCAATAAAATATTCAGAATTTAGAACGTTTTATTAATAAATTAAAGTATATATGGGTTTTAGTTAATATAAGTGTTGCATGATAAATATACAAGTATCGATTATTGTCGGATCGGATATAGTGGAGAAGCGCAATCCGGCCTTCCGATATTTTTCTCATGACTCATTCCGGTATCCGATGCCGGACCGGAGCAGTGGAGAAAGGGCCTAAAAATGTCCAACGGTTTCTGTCCAACGCCTCTCTTATAACAGCGTACAGTTTTGAGGACGATGCGTCTTTCACTTGATCGGTCCATCGGGTTGGTGAACGGCCATGTGATCTTTCAGTGTTGCCAACCACGACCAAATCTCCAAGTTTATATATATTCGCATTAGTATATGACGTATAAAAGTTAAAACCCTTAACCGTGTTTTGTGCACTCGTCTGAGCATGTTATTGATGGACGTTTTTCACGCCTCAGAACTCCGCCAAACGGAGGAATTGGTGTAGCTAAAATATTTACGTACTTTATTCTTATTCTCTATAGTTGTGTATTAACTATTATCCTATATAGGTAATACACAACTCTAACTCAAGTTTCCATTGAAAGCTAAACTTAATGGATCAATAATTCGTAATTGAATTCTGCGATGCATTTATTCAATTTCGGTATACCCATATAATATATTTAATACCGCAATAAGGGTTTTCAAAGAATTATTTATTTTAATATTCGCAACGCATTTATTCTCCGACCGTTAATAATCTGTTAAAGTTTAACAATTAATTTTTTTTCATGATTCGTGAAATTAAGAAAACTCCATGATATGATAGCATGTAACGATTTATCCATTATATTTTTATTAAATCATCATTATTACGGAAAATATTTATACAAGAGTTTAAGTAAATTTTATATGTAATTTCAATATTTTAAATTTCATCATATTTTTGTGAGATAACCGAAGGACCCATGTCGAAAGTCCATAACTTAAATTCTTGTTCGGATCTTGTCAAGAGTAGACAGAGTAATTTTATCTTTACCACTGGCGACCGACAAGTGTGTGTTCTCTTTACTAATTGACCATGATTGCTGCATAAAACGTTGACCATGTTTCTAATAGCAGTAAAAGTTAAAAATTGTAAGTGTTCAAAGATATTATTGCATATATCTTTTTAAAATTTAGTGACGTCTCTAAATTTCCCCGTTAGCATTAAAAATTTCATACTAAAACTATTCTCTGCACTGCAATTATCGAATATGTGTCATCTCTGTTTTTACAGTTTTTTATTAACATTTTAGACATACTCTTTAATAGCGACTGCATATTTAAAATTTATATTATGTAAATATTGTTTACTAAGCAAACTTAGCAACCGCGTATTTTTATTTCTATCGATTCTGAACGTTTAATTTAATTCTTCGTTAAAAAGCTCGCAAGGACTGGTCATTTTGCAATAAAGCCCATGCCTATTTTGTACTTTACAAAATAGGCATGGGCTCCGTTGAAAGATGCGAGAAAGAGTTTGGAAATAAGTTTTTTTTGTGTGTACTGCTTTTGTGAAGAAATAAATAAAATGCTTTATATTTTATTATTTTAGTTCATTTGCAGGAAGAGTAAAGAAAGTAGATATTACAATCAGATCAAATAATCAGATTTCCAATTGGCAATGGTTATAATTGTTTGAACTCAATATGCTAATTAAAAGCCGAATACCTCATTTGCTACGATTATACGGGGATTATTTGCATAATTTACTAATCTTCATAATCCTTTATGTAGTTTATGAATTATTAAAGTTTTGTCCTAACACTTTAATGTTACAATTTAAGGAAATATCTAATATTGAGGCTTACTTCAGCACGTTTATGAATAAGACCAATAAGTGGCGATCACAGACAACCTTGTAATTTGTGTTATCTCGGAAAATAAAATCTGTTAAAGAAATAAAGCGCTGTCAAACTTAGGTTAAAGCTATCATCGTAAATGATGTTATTCGTGTCTCATGTTTTAATTGGTTTTGGATTCGTTAGAAGTAGACCCTACTGTGTGATACGGAATTAAGTTTAACTAAAGTTAAACTAAATATTTGTTTTTGATATTTTTAAAGAAATATCAAAAAGGTTAGTCGACATCACAGGAGACCGAAGATCTGGCAGCTACCTCGGACAAAGAATTAGTCTAGCGATTCAAAGGGGGTAGCTGCCAGTATCTTCGGAAGCTTGCCTAAAGGGACTCCTTTTAATAATATATTTTAGTTTATGTTAAGGTTAGTTATTTATTTCAATGTTTAATGTATAGAATTTATTAAAAGGCTTTTCACTAATGTTTGTCCAGTAGTAATGTACATTTTTATAGAAATATTTTTAACCGACAGAATTATTAAGAGTTAATTTTAGGTTTTACTTTTCTGGGTATTTGGGAAATGCTTAAGCGGGAGTTTGTTATTAAGCATATTATAGCGACCGATCAAAGCATTATTGGCGGTATTCAAATCACTTTTTGTTCATAACTGAAAATCTGAAATTAGACATTACAGGTCGCATTGTAAAATATATTTCAGTTTATTTAGGCGTGAGGGTAAAAGCCGAATGGTTAAGTTAAATGTAAAAGGAAGTTTCCGTTGTTCACCAAATTAGACAAACACAAACCCTCGCCGACAGATAGTCATTGCGTATCTCTTTGGAGGTGACGTATTTTATTAGAAGCATTGTGTTCTTTTACGACGGGTATTTCAAAAGCTGACAATTATTATTTTGCAGCCGCTTGCGGATGTCCTGAATCCTAAATTAGCGCGCCAGGGCTAAATGAAAAGAGTTGTTTCTACGTCTCAGTCGTTTTCCGCTATGAAGGCAAATATAAGCGTTTTAAGTAGGCAGACTCCTTAAGCGGGGCCGGGAGCAATTAAACCAGGCCGCGTCTTGACTCTCGCTAAAGATACACAATTACACCTCACCTTTTACACTCAGATCTAGCCAACATTAAACAAAACATATTTATATCTAATATATTTTTTACAAAAACCGAGAGTTCACTCTATAGTTCCTAAGACACCTACCTACACTTTCATCAGTAATAAAGTTTTCCATTATATTGAGTTTAATTTAACTGAGTGCGTGACTAACGGAGTTCTTTAAGTAACCGTTTTAAGACTTAAAAATTGTGTGGCATACCTTTGCTAGAACGGGCAAAAAAGCCGATATAAAAATGAACAAGAAATGCATCGATATATCAAGGACGGTGTAAAACGCTTTCGTTGCAGCTGTTTCGAGTGTACAGTTAAATTTAAAAGGAATGCAAAATTATACATTTTGCCATAATTGTACGTTCACATTCTAAATTCTTGTCAATTTTTTTGGAACTGTACTGAACTTTTCATATTCATAACTATTCATAATAATTTTCCTTCAAATCTCGTCGAAAGATTTACGTAAATGTTTTTTCTTGTTTAATTTTTCTTTGTTGCATATATTTTTATCAGAAATTGTTATAAAACAAAGGATATATTTGAAATTCTAAATTGGGCTGTTTTCGTATGTGTTCTAGCTTAAGTAAATTTTACCTTGGGCGATAATAAAACAAATACAAAATCAACAGTTTAATAAAAAGTTTATCGAACTTTTAAATACCTTCTCCATTCGTAAATTGTTTGAAAATGTTCCTTTGGGTAATGTGGGTGAGGCCGCATGTTGTATTGCATACCTATCTAATTTCGTCATAATTTACTTCTGATTTGAATCCAGCCCTGTAATATAAATATTTATCATTTGTATAGTGTTTTCCTGTCAGTTTACACGAAATGCCTGCCAGATGCCAACATTTTTAATTCGACCTAAATGAAAGCAAGCGCCTTGCAAGATGTATGTTCTAATTTGGACGTACACTGCACACGACTGAGTAAACATTCGTTGATCTGCTGATATGTAGAGCAGTTTTACATCCGTTTCCTATAAACGGCACCTATTTGTTTAATATCGAATTCGTTAGTTTGTTATTCAAACTCAGAATACATGCGATATGTAAACGCTATCCGGGAAGATACGTTTTGGTTTAGTTGTTACTTTACTATTCACAATGCAATGTTTGTTTCATTTTCATTACTAATGGATTTAAATGTTTATTTTATCTAAATTACAATATCTATAAGTACCTTTTTGGACAAACAAAACAAACGACATTAAAAATTGATCGCTTTAGATTTAGTTTGCATTTAAATAGAACAAAGAAAAGCTTGCTTATGTAGCCCTTGTAATATTCCTATAGAGTAGTCAGTTTTTAAACACAAATATTTTTCAGATTTTCCTCGAATTGAAATCGGTCCGGAGAATCCATTGCATGTTGAAATTGATGGAACTGCAACGATGGAATGTAAAGTTGACGCAAAACCCAAAGTGAGCAACGTGCGGTGGACTCGAAATGGCAAATATATTTCAAACTCTTTTATACACACTATTCAAGATGTGACAGTGCAAGACGCAGGCAAATACACTTGCAGCGCTGATAATGGGCTTGATCATCCTGGGGAGAAGGAGATTTACCTAGATGTTCTATATCCTCCAAGTGTTACGATTGACTCTAAAACGTACGACGCCGAAGAAGGCGGTACAGTTGAAATACGTTGTGAAGTTTCTGCTAATCCCGAACCAATTTCAATCGATTGGACAAAGGAAGGAAAACCTGACTTTCGTCAAAAAGGAAACACTCTAGTTTTGACTAGAGTAGATGCAGAAATGGCTGGAACATATATTTGCAAAGCCATAAACGTAATTACATCATCCGCAGGAAATCGCATGGAACGGGCTAGTAGCGCTTCAGTCGCTGTATTGGTGAGACATAAGCCAGGACGGGCATTTATTAGTCCTGATCGGCCCGTAGCTCAAGAGGGTGCAGGGGTAACACTTACTTGTAGTGCTAAGCCTCCGGGCTGGCCGTCTCCTCAGTATAGATGGTTCCGGGATATCGATGTCGGTGATGTCAAACCTAACGTTCTCGCTACTGGCCATAAATACACAATCCCGAGTGCACATCTCGGTAGCGAGGGTGTTTATCATTGCCAGGCCACAAATGAACTTGGTCATGGCGAGATTGCATCCGTCAACCTCGAAGTATATCAACCTCCGCGCTTCCAATCAAAACTCCAACCACACATGATAAAGAACTCCGGTGAAAGAAATTATTCTTTGACGTGCATTGCGTTGGGAAAACCGCTACCCCATGTTAAATGGTACAAAGACAATTCCGAAATAAAAGCGGATGCTAATTTATATGAAGTCAAAACAGAAATAAATGAAAGTAGAAACGCGGTGTTCAACATACAAAGTACGTTACGATTCAAAGGTCGCGCGAGGCCTAACGGGGATGACTTACTTCCGGAGGATAGGGGAGTCTATTCTTGTTCCTTCGAAAATGAAGTAAAGAAAGTGGAATCAACTATGCAGCTCAGGATTGAACGTGAGTATTTTAATACTTTGATTTATTTAACTTTTTATAATTTGCTTTTTAGCAAAATTTGTTTAAGTAGCAATTTAAATTTTAAACTCAATATATTTCTTAAAACTCTTTACAAAAATTATATATTTCAAAAACAGTTTTATGAAATTTACATAGTCATTGTGTCCGTATACGTGTCAGTTAAAAAATGCCGGGGATTCGAACCTAAAATACCAGTATTAAGGGCATTGAGTGCTCGCTTCAGTTGCTCATGTTTGTATACATGAACTCCTAACTCGTCATTTATTCCGACAACACGTTTATAAAATGAAGACTTGAATTCGAATAACAAATTCTTTCATTCGGTTAATTCTTTCCAGACGAACCAATTTCAATCCGACAACAAAACAAAGTGGCTTACGATGTGATGGAGAATGCTGAAATATCGTGTAGAGTTCAAGCTTATCCCAAACCAGAATTTCAGTGGTTTTACGGCGCAAATACGGCACCATTGCAGATGTCCTCGGACGGGCATTACGAGATAACTACTACAACGGACAATAACGACTCCTACTTAAGTATTCTGCTTATACGCAACATTAAAGGACAGGACTACGGTGATTATTACTGTAAAGTCAAAAATTCATTGGGTAGTATACGTCCGCAAATAAGATTGCAACCAAAAGGTGCACCTGAGTCCCCTCGCGCTTTAGCTAGTCAAAAAGTAGGACCGAGTTTCGTGTCTCTCAAATGGGAAGCGGGATTTGATGGGGGATTATCGAATACAAAATATTTTGTACTATATCGAAGACAGAAGAATCCAGCTGGCGGAGAACACTGTGCCACAGAAAGATTAGACGAGTACGACTGGAAAGAATACGACTGTCGGCGATCCAATCCGTGCAATGTTACCCGCCTTGAGCAACATAATACCTACCATTTTAAGGTAACTCTATGATAAGATAACCCTAGTGAAAGGGCAATAAAATATATATTTATAGGCCACGTACATTGAAAATGATTAAATAAACAAAAATCTATTTAGAGCTATACAAGCTTTGCAACGGTTGAAATTTTTTGAATGTTCAGATATGAATAAAAGCGTGGTATCCAACAAAAATATGACGTGAAAATTATGTTAAGGCAATGAATGAAACTACAGTCATTTGTGTAAAAATCAAAAGCACAAAGACAAGAAAACCGGTACAAAAATGCTAAGATTTAAAAAATACTAACAAAATGGAATCACAAAGTGAATGTAAAAAATTAAATGCGTCACGGTCCTTTTCCTTTTTACTTATGTAGCGGTTTTGTTCTCTTCATTCAAAGACTTGCCATTTCTCGTGCCATATTTTTGTTGGTATTAAATTCTATGAAGGTATTTCTATATCAATGATTTGGTCATAGTAGTCATACGCTAATATGTTTCTCTCATTGTTATTGCTACCGACAGCATCTGACATTTGCATTCAAGGTAAATGACTTCAGCCGCTATCATTATTTCTTCCTGATTTGTGCATTCGCTTTGGTCACTTTCGCTATTCTTTAAGCCTTTTGCGTACGAGCTATAGTAGAAAAAAATCCAATTATCGTAAAATCTATTTTACATAACGTTACAATTAAAATCAGAATCCATAAATTATTATTTTTTTCCCCAGTCAATGTATACCTTTTGCTACTAAAACAAGCAATTTAGTGAAAAAATCGTCGCTGCGATAGACTCTCGTGTGTATGCCGCCTGTCAATTTTGCCATGCAATAGATTTCATTAATCTTGACTTATAGGTGAAAGCAGTTAATACAAAAGGGCAGAGCAACTACTCCAATGAGATCATGGTGACGACGAAAGTTGACATTATACCACCGCCGGAACAGGTGACATTTGATCCCAGTACGAGATCCGTTGCGTTCAGTGTGGGGCCTACGTGCCTCCCCCTGGTAGGGGTGGTGGAAGGTCTGGGAGCGCTTGGTGGCTGGCAGGTAAGGAAATGTACACAACAAAATGAATCATCTGCCGCAGGTTACGTTAGTTGTAATTTAGAACATTGGGTAATTTCATTTAGTGTATTGAGCGAGAGGGTCATAAGTATTAAAATTATGATGGCAACGGGAAGAGTGGGAAACGCCTATAGCTAAATTTTTATTTTTTCAGTAATTAAAAAAATTATCATCATAATAAAAATACTACTAACTAAACTAGGGTATTTATTGAAAGGTTTCAGAAATTTTTATATGTTTATTTAGATTTCCTCATATATTTTCTGATAATTTCTAAATTGTAATGGCACATCTGAATATGTAAAATTGCAAATTTCTGTCTGCGTGGGAGTGCCGGGTTCGACATTTATCACGTGGTTTTAGCTTTTCAATTGTATTTCAATTTTAAGTGCATCTGCTGATCAGTAATTACGTTCCTTTTTAATTACCTGCCGTGATGTTTTGACGTTCTTTTATTTCTTCATCTCAATTAGAATTCATTGATTTAATAAAAAATACGAAACGAGTAAATAGAGCTTATAATAAATTTATACAGACTGTAGTAAAAACTGTAATGATCGTCGACTAGAGAACTCTTCACTGGAAATAAACCAGTGAGGGACTCACTGTTTATTGATAGATGTGTGAGCACGCTTTTCCCTTTGTAGTATTGTAAATATCAAGAAAACAAAACATGTGTGGAAAACATGTTACATTACATTATTTAAATGTATCCACCATCAAAAACTCCAGTTTGACACGACACGTGTGCGATCATATGGGTATTATTGAGTGCAAGGAATCTAACATAGTCGAGCTCTATGTGCTCCCTTGTGTTGAATGGAATGCTTTTGTGGATGGTGGGACGTATCCATGATTTAAATCTCTGCCTCAAAGCACTTCGCCTCTAAACACAGACGCTCGGAAAAACGCGTTTGCTGTAGATTTGTAATACTTTGTTCCTTTAAACAGAAACTATATGTCTCTACTTTTAAATTGTTAGATAGTATACAGTAAGTTTCCTATGCTGTAAATCAACAAAATTTGTTCAACTCTTGATCTCTAAGCGTGAAAGTGTAACGAAAGAGTTTATTTTCACATTTATTTTGTCTATAAACTAAAATGACATCAATCTATCAAAGTTTATCTCCATTCTCCTTAACAAAGATAAGCTAAAATAAAGCTTTGAAGCTAAAATCTTAATGTTATTTTTTGTGTATATAACATCAAATGAATGAGCGAAATGATACCACTCAACTTTTTAATTAAAAAGCTTTAGTTAAATATGAATTGAACTATATTTTGTTCGTACAAATTAATTCGTAATAATGAATAACGAGAAACATATTTGTTTTTAGGTCGTAGATACGGTGCCACTGCAATTATCGGGTATTAGTTCCACTATACAAGAAAGTACCCTGGATCCTCCCACGCCTCGCGGTAGAGGCTCCTCTGTGCCACCATTAGACCAATTAAATCCTAGGGTCCGTTTGAGGCTTTGTTTACAAGACAATCAAGATACGTGCAGTGAATACATAGAGGCTGATAGTAAGTTCTTTTTATACATTATTTAAAGACTAAAAGAGTAGAAAACACTTCCACTTAGACTCAACGTTTAATATGGCTTACTTATAACTTAAGTTTACTCAGAATCTTCCCGCTATAGCTTAGCGGGAATTTATAGTACGGGAGGTAGCAACGTTTGAAAAGAAAGAATTTTAGGTCAGCTGATTTTGTGATATGTCTTCCTTCTTGCACTTCCGGTTAGAGTCTGGGCAGTCTGGCTGGCGGTAGCGGTTGCGTTCATTAGTGCGCATCCTATCTGTCCAGGTAATAGTCCTGGATTTTAAGAAGCGTAATTTTTGATTTTTCCTTTAGCAGCAAGTTTTAAGTGTACGTGTGAAACATAAATTAAACGAAAGTTCCCAAGAAGATGATATGAATGACACCGACAAAGACAGCGACGATGATGATGATGATTATGAAGATGCCTCTTTTTTGTGACGTCACTATAGGCTAAAACAACTTGTAAAACTTAATATTAATTATTCATAACTTACATTTAGTAATTAGGACAATTTAAATAAAGTGTTGATTATTAATTTTAATCTAATTTTATATTCCTTTTTATGCTCGTACTACAAGCATTATACTGCAATACTTTTCATGACTTTTACATTTTAATTCAAGGCTTAACAATCGAATTAATGTCTGGCAAATTCATTTTCAGTTTTTCTTATATTTAAATAACATAATATTAAAATTACAGACATTCTAAAAGGCTTTGAAATTTTTATAAAAATAAAACTTAAAATCGCGTCTGGCACATAGTTAGCAACGTGAAAAATGTCTGGCAATAAAAAAAGTATGTCAGGTAGACGTATTTAAAAAGGAAAAATCAAAAATTACGCTTCTTAAAATGCAATGCTTCATCATACTGCAATACTTTATCATTTTAATTCAAGGCTTAACAATCGAATTAATGTCTGGCAAATTCATTTTCAGTTTTTCTTATATTTAAATAACATAATATTAAAATTACAGACATTCTAAAATGCTTTGAAATTTTTATAAAAATAAAACTTAAAATCGCGTCTGGCACATAGTTAGCAACGTGAAAAATGTCTGGCAATAAAAAAAGTATGTCAGGTAGACGTATTTAAAAAGGAAAAATCAAAAATTACGCTTCTTAAAATGCAATGCTTCATCATACTGCAATACTTTATCATTTTAATTCAAGGCTTAACAATCGAATTAATGTCTGGCAAATTCATTTTCAGTTTTTCTTATATTTAAATAACATAATATTAAAATTACAGACATTCTAAAATGCTTTGAAATTTTTATAAAAATAAAACTTAAAATCGCGTCTGGCACATAGTTAGCAACGTGAAAAATGTCTGGCAATAAAAAAAGTATGTCAGGTAGACGTATTTAAAAAGGAAAAATCAAAAATTACGCTTCTTAAAATGCTTTTAAAATCCAGGATTATTACCTGGACAGATAGGATGCGCACTAATGAACGCAACCGCTACCGCCAGCCAGACTGCCCAGACTCTAACCGGAAGTGCAAGAAGGAAGACATATCACAAAATCAGCTGACCTAAAATTCTTTCTCGAAAACGTTGCTACCTCCCGTACTATTAGCCTAGAACCATTATTCTTCGCAATGCTGAGATCGTACCTGTTGTCATTAAAAATATTGCATAATGATTCAAAATAAAATTTTCGAATAAAATTTCTCGTAGATCCCACTTTTGCTTGATTAGCAAGAATAAATGCATCACGAGCCGTTATCGTCGATTTTTTTATTAATTAAAAACTGACTTAATTCAATAATATTTTTCAGTTGGTCCATCATACACGAAGGCAGCTGCCGCATTAACAACTGCCACGGTCATCGCAATAGTCGTATCTTGCCTAGTCTTTTTACTCTTTTTAAGTCTTTTATTCATCTTTTGTCGGTGTAAACGTAATGAGAACAAAAAAGAAGCGTCAAAGGACTATGAAATGGACTCTATGAGGCCTCCCATGGTGTCGCCACCTAACCAGGCCCCCCCTCCATATTATCCGAGTACGGGGATGGAGAACAAGGCGCTCGAACATTCTATGGACTTGCAAATGGCTATGGATGACTCGAAGAATGCAGTATACGCGAGTCAGGGCGGCTACGGGTACCACATGGCGCCCCACACCCAAGGACATCCTGGGCAAAATATGTCGAATGCGGACTGTAAGTATATTTATTAACTATCGCTACCAATTTCAACTAAAAATAATTATTGCACTGCTTTGTTTAGTACTGTTGTTTGTTTTTTTTAAACTTTGTACGTATTATGAATAGTTCGTGCTTGCACTTAATACTTCACTTATACATATTGAAAGCAATATTAGTGGATATATCGCAAACAGGTTAATTAACTCTAATTAACAAATATATTAACTTCCATTGATATTTTGTACAAACTGTAATTAGTAAGTACATCGGATTAAAAATAATAATATAAAAATGGCAATAATAAGATTTGATTAAATGTATACAAAGGAATAAGTTCAATTAACTACGATTTTATTGAAAGATGTGCTATTGATTTCTGAATAATTCAATTGATTCTATTATGAGATAAGTATTTTAATTCATTTATAGCATTTCTATTAATTGCTACAACCTTTTGTCTTTATGTTGAAAATTTAGGTTATGAGGTCTTTGACTAAACAATTTCGTAATTTAAGTAGTTTTGTATCAAAATACTACCACGTCCCTAAGCCCGCAAGCGAGGAAAAGGTTAAACATTAGATTGTGCATTTTATATCGGTTCTAAGATTCTGATATACTGATCGAAACTTAAGTCAAAACGATCATTTAATTATCGCGTTTTATATTTTTAATATTGTCTTAAAGTTATTACTTGTTTAAATACTGAAATAAACAACCTGAATTTTACAATTATTTAAGCAATTTATTAAACTCAGTCCGGTCAGAAGTTGCCTCAAGTTAAATAATTATAAAATGATAGTAAAACGTATTTTTAAATCGACGGAAGTGTTTGGCTTTCTTTAAAAGTGAAATGGAATTAATGAAAGTTCATAATTTTAATAAATTATGTTTGCATAATTCAATAATCACAGTGTAAGCTAATTTTCAATTGTTTTGTTCATGCACGCGCAAGGACTAAGCAGTAGTGGCTACGTAGATGGTAAAATCAATCCAAAACAAAATATAATATTGCATGTTGAATGTTATGAATCACCACACCCATGTAAAATCGACATTTCTTCTGTAGGGGTAAATATGGGGTATATTGAGAATTGCTACACGAACAGTAACAACGGAGGCAGCGTCAACTCCCAAGACTCCCTTTGGCAGATGAAGATGGCCGCGGCAAACGCGGCACCCAGCATTCCTCAGCATCAGATGGTAGACCGGCAGTGTAATTATGGGTAAGACAATTCTATACTTTCTTTTATATTGATACATATGATATATCATAATACAATATGCTACTTGATTGTTGTATATTGAATTAGATTTCTTGCGATTGCGTCTTTACTATTGTACAATACACACATGTAAGTAATGTTACATCAGTCTTGTTTTACCATTTTTGGCAATTCTGAATACTAGATTGTGTTTAGGAATGTTATTCAATGAATTACGTTTTTATATTTTATGCTCCAAATTAAAAAAAACTCACCTAATACATGTCCCAAATAAGTCCGTAACCATTATTTTTTAATTAATTTTTGAACACTAAGTCATCGCATATAAGATTGAAATAACAATCTCGTAAAATATTTAACACCAGAGAAGTTAAAATAATTTTAAAAAAATATTAGCACGTAATACTGTTTGATATCTATCAGTCATCTCACCACTTACCAAACTAGGGCATAGATCGGACAAAATAAAAATCATGTTATTCTGCGGTTGTATATAATTTTTAGTCATAAATAAATGAATTCTCTGACCGTTATTAACAAACCAAATAACAACTATTCGATATCAAAAACAATTATTAACATTTTATAGCAACCACTTTTTTGCAGGTAGGTTGTCTTCTGATATTGGCCTCCCCTATTTTATTTAGGCCATTCTGTTCTTTCCTGTTGTTACTATTAACTTAAATTCCGAGTTGTATACGGTAGAAAGTTGACGGTCGTTATTCATATAGAAATATCTAGCTCGTCGCAATGACGTCTTGTATTTTGTTAATAGCATCCGAGCCTCGAGCGAGCTAGTTATAAACGTATGTTGAGGGTATATGAAAATATTGTATGATATTTACTGTAAACCTGGGAAAGGATAGAAGACAAATCTTTGTTTTTAATTTATTTTATTATTACTAATTACTTAAGATGTCATGTGGAACATGATGTAATGGTTGCAGCCCCTTACAAACATTGTGTAAAACAATAAAACTTGGCGATTAAAAAGAGTGGCGGAGAGTTTATTGCCAGTTCTTGTCTTCTGTCCTACGCCCTTGATTTTTTACATATATATTCATTGTGTTACGTAACGTATTTTGGTTGGGGTGGAGTTTCTTGCCCATTCTTCTCCACACGAAACTACCTTTTGGAAGGGACAACTAGAATCTTCTTTATATTTTATTTGACGTTCAAAGGTGCCATTTTAGGTGGTCTAATTGAAATAAATGATTTGTCTTAGACTTTGCGGCTTTCATCATAGTATAAACTGAGATTGTACCAAATATCGCTTTTGCGTATACGGTTTGCCCGCATTGGTTAATAATTGATTCTTAACTATACACGGTAGCAGATAATGATTGTATGATTGAGAGGGAAAGTTATATTCTCTTACGTATCTATATTTTGTTAATTTTGCAATTTTCGTCTGTTTATGACAGGTATACAAAGTTTGTTATAGTTGCTGTCCAGTTAACAGCCGTGCGTTGCGAGCAATCTTTGAAAAACATATTTTATTTTGCCCAAGTACTTGGCTGCATGCACTATGCAATGCATATTTTATACCTACGTATTGCATCTTGCATTCAAAGCACAGATATTTTAAAATACCTTTACCAGCTTTAAATTTGTTCATAATAAACTTTCTTGGAGCGCAAATTTGTCGGAATGTCGTAAACAAGAAAGTTGTGTATAATCTCTTTGAGAAATGTCCAAAATAAACTGAATGTAGTATTTCGCGATTGTTAATCTTGAAATAGGTTCAAACTATTTTTATCAATACATGAGCAATTGTCTTGCCTAAAATGTTAGTGTTACTTGTTTGAACGGCAACATTTTGATTTAAATGATGTATTCGGTACAAACTATACTGAGTTTAAACCGATACATAGTAAACAACTGAAAAATATTGATGTAAGCGGATACATTCGTGCTCTATGAAAGATTAAAGATTCTGTATGCGGTTTGTGTATTTATTGATTAAAAACGTGAACTCTAAATATTTGTATATACATTACAAAGCTGGATTTACTTCGTTACATTAATTTATTTATTTGGGGGATGGTTTTGATGCTCGTTTTCGTATAGTAACTCCAAAATCCGATAATTCGAAATCTAGCGAGGTAGGTAGATACTTGGATCTGGGCCAAAATGATAATGGTAATTGGTGTTTTAGTCCAGAAAACAGAAACACCTTATGACAACACCCAAACTTGGCTGTAATGGCTGTTTGGTCTACCATTACAGCCAAGTTTATTGAAATAGTAGTGATGTGAAAATAACAGAAACAAATGCAAATTTTGTGTTTCTATTCTTCAGTCTGCATACTTTAAATTTTGTTCCAACTTACCTACATAAAGTGGTATGAAATGGTATCGAGAAATGACATGTCAAACAAGTTATTATCACAAATGGATCTTGACTCTTGAGCCTAAACGTAAGAAGTTAGTTGAAAGCGGAAAGCGTTTGATAGGTAGTAGGATATTTTACACAGGTATTGCCAATACGGAATTCGTTCCTTAGTAGAAGATGTAATATTAAAATTCCCAAGAAATATGGCACTAAACCCTTAAGCCTCTGTAAACGAACACATACAAAAAGTGTGAGACCTGTGAAAAAAGTAATTATTCTTAAAAAAATTGATTTAATTCCCTACTTCAAAGTGTATGTGCCAGCGATCCCTTTAGATCCCAAAACATGCGTGCGGCCCTCCGCCGTCTCAACAAAAGTTCCTTAATGTTTAGGCAAAGTGGCCGCTAACACCCTACACCACTGTCTCGCGGGCATGCAGCACAGCGCATCGCACGACAATAATTAGTAATAATAAATGTTGCAAATATCATACCTGCTAGACAACTTCAACTGAACTACAACTTTTAATTATTGAATGTTCGTACACAAATAGCGAGGTGCACGTACGTATAGAAATTGTACTACATATTTCTGTATGCGCATATTTTTTTATAAGACAGCTAAAGATAGAGAAAACACTATTCGAAACTTGGGAATTCTTCTTTATTCTTATTTATTTGTAAAGTCTATTTCGTCTACCAGTTTAGTTCTTTTACAACTCGTCCGTACTCAGAGTAACACATTATATTATCTCTAACGGTAGCTACGAAATTTAAAGCCTGATTAGCGGAGCATGGTTTATTTTAATCTTACCAAAAAAAAAACATTTCTTATTTGATAAAAACTCGCCGTGTCTTACTTAAATCTTTGTCTAAATATTAATAGAACGGATCTAAAATACCTTCCAAGATATATAGGGCGATAATCTCTTTCATTTGAATGACAGGATTATTTTATTATTTCAGGAAATTGAATTGTATGTATTTCTCTATAGGTATGACCCAATAGCACATGGTGGCTATGGAACTATTGACGATTACGCCCCATATTCTCCCCTGCCGCACGGCAACCTCAGCACCCACGGTAGTCATGCTGGAGCTGACTGTGCCATGCGTTCATCACAGACGCCGTCAAGACAGGACTATTGCTCGGATCCATACGCCTCCGTGCACAAGCCCAAGAAAAGGGTGGATCAACATATCGGTAAGCATAAATTGTTTTTGATTTATTGTATATTATTGTATTTATGGTAAAACGGGTTCTAAATTGGAAACATAAATCTTAGTGTCTTAAAGTTGTGTAATAAGTGTCGTTCTGTCTACTTGTATTGACATAGACATACAATTTATTACTAACAAAAACACACACACATAATAACAATAATCAAAGAAAAAAAATTAAAAATATAATGAGAGATAATAAATTTTTTTCCCTTTTCCCTTTCGGTTCGTTTCAAGTGTGTAATGCGTGTGTGCTGTGGTAGTAACTGGTCCTGGCTCAGCATTATCCTGAGGAGCAGACTGTTCCACAGCGCTGGTCATTCTGCCAGAGACCACAGCAGCTAATTTACGCCTCAGTAGCAAAAAAAGAAAAGCGGTTCGTCGTAATTCCAAAATTATAGTCTGTCAATAATCTGAAGTAAACATACTGTACAATCTGTGAATTATCTAGCAATGCCTCGCGTCATATTTATCCGATGACAAATATGTGTGCTCGTATGTGCTTAATAAACACCATTGAAATACAGCAGTTGCACTAATATGCTTTAATGACTTGAAGAGATGAATCAAACATTGCAGCGTCACACTCCTGCAATCAAATCAATAACACGGAGTAGGCAAATTATTCTTCTTGGAAAACATGTCTGGCGGTGAATTCATTGGATTGCAAAATACGTTCTCTTCGTGTTTTAAATGCGCACGTTGAAAGAAATGTCCAATAGTGCCCAGACGGGATTCTAACGCCTATACCTAGTGTTTAGTTGTTGTGTTGAGGGATGCACGGTCGAGCCATTAGGCTAATACTGCTCATCGAATACAAAACTTCATATTGTAACTAAAAAATTTAATAACTTTTTTGGAAACATTAAGAACCGCACTCTGAGTTACCGATAATTTTGAGGTTGTAATGAGATGTCTTATGTCGAATTTTGGTTTCAGAATCACCTTATCATGAAGTTAGCGGTCTGCCCGAGACGTATTGTGGGGGGCCTGAAGACGCCACTCCCGAAGACAAGCCGCCCCATCTATCTCTTAGCTACGATGAATCTCTTGAGTCTGGATATTCCACACCTAACTCTCGAGCAAGGAGAGTTATTCGCGAAATCATTGTGTAAATATGAAATCACATCACTGGTAAATTTCCTTATAAAATTAATTGGACCACTAATATTCACTTGTACAATTGTAGATTCCGCATATCTTGCGGAAATTTCTGAGGGATCTGATTTTCAGATTCTCATTGAACGTCCTTATCTTTTACTGAATTTAATAATTCTTTAAAAAATCAAGGCAAGGTTACGTAAAAAATCATTACATAGATTAAGATATTATTTCATATTGTAAGCGAAGTAAATGTTTAGTTAAAAACACATAAAATATTACACTACGTAGGCTGTATGCCGACGTCAAATGCAACACATTGTAATTATACATCCTATACACGACAACAGCAGGTACAGGAGACATCAGAGAAGTGCTAATCAAGTAATACATTGCTCCAAAACAAGATGGCACTATTATAATTTATAATATTTGCCTGCTTCATGTTCCGACAGTGCAAAGGGAATTCTAATTACTCAGTTGAATAGCATCTTGTTCTCAATAATTTACGCCCTGTCTCAGAGAAATGAGCTAAGCTCGCTAAGCCTTTGTTGCATTTTAGTTGTTTCGACATTCGTTTGTTAATGTGAAACTTCCTTGCATTTAAAGTATGCAGAATGATTTATGTAATACGACTACACACCTTTATAAAACTAGCATTTTTGGATCAAATATTTTTATTTCATTATTAAATTTGTTCTTGGGCCTATAATATAAACAGAATCTTAGCCCTAGTACAATATTTAATTTTTCAACTATTTTTTTACGTACAAAGTAGACATATGTATGTAAAATGACCAATGGTATTAAGAAAAATGCTTTGAAATCATTTTAGCAATAATCCGATAAACCACTCTAATAACATTCACTATACGGCCGTCGGCCATTGGTGCTCAACTTTTCCTTTTTCGTCTTTGTTCTGGCCCAGGAATCACGAACAGAGGCTAATCCTAATCTCATATACAAGATGAAAACATATCGAAATACAGTTCAAAGTTGTTATACTAATGTTAAAAGGCTGTTCCAACAAAAATATTGATTTTCAATAATTCGCGCCGAACAAAGGCGGTTCGACTCACATGACAAAACAATTAATCCGTTTGAGTCATTAAATCTGCATAATTGTTACAAAATTGCAACAATAATAACTTAAAGGTTTGAGAACTATCGTTTCTCAAACGAAATATCATCGTATAGTTATAATTATCGTTTAATCACTTAATATAAAGCGTGTATAAAATCATAACTTAACTATAAGAAACGCCGTCCTTTTGTCAAAAATACTCTTTAAAACTTCGGTGCCATTATGTTAATGTATTAGGACTTTCGCTATATAACTTTAATGCCAGTTATTTCATTCTCTATGGCAACCGTATTCCTTTTTTTTGAGGACAAAAAAAGGAATAAGCTCCTCGTTGCTTGCAAATACTTAAAATATACTTCGTTCATTTGTGCGCTTATATTCCACATTTGATGGTATTTATTATTGGCTGACCCAACTGCGGTCAATTTACAGCTTAGAATTACTTATGTTCCAAGTAATTTAGTAGAAGTACTTACTTTTAACTATTCAATTTCATTAGGTTTTATTTCACTACATATATATCACAAACCTTTTTCTTTTTATTGATGGTAGAAAATCAATATTATTATTTTATATTACACACGTCTATCATTATATATAAAACACACCACTTATTAAAATAATCATGTGATAGCTTTCATTGTATCAGATGTCGTTAGTTTTATTAGTGTTATAGTAAAGCACGAAATGGGCCCACCTTTAATAAATAGGATCTGGACCACCGGAAATGTTCATTTTTAAATTATTTTGTTATATACAGGGTGGGATTTTGTGTTTTTTTAAATAAAGTTTCCTTTAAGCAAAAATTGCTGTTCCTTCCTTTAGGGGATTTTCCAGGTGGTGTTTTTAAAAAGTTCCAGCCTGTATAATGAATGTTTCACGTATATCTTTGAGTCATACAAGCCACTTTTACAGAATTAAAAGATCTCGGACACTCGGCATCAACGTGACTGATAATTGTTCAAATATAAATATATTATATAATTCTATTGATAATCATAGTGCTTAGGTACTTAGTATAATTTGTCGTGATTAATATCTTTCGAATTTAATGGTGCAATTTACGCATTGCAAGATATGCGTATATATTCGCTTTCGCTCAGGGTCAATAATGTATTGTACACAGCTTCAGGATATGTTTTGCACATACATGTATCTTGTCGTCCCTTTCACATGGCTCACAAAAAGTAGGAAGGTAATATTTAGCTTGATTTTTGATCATTGCTTAACTTTCTTTAATACTAGTATAAGAAATATATTTAAATGAAATCTTTGTCTCTTTTTGTGTACAATTAAAACTTTAGCCCACTATACAACGACAAGTACTTATGATCTTAGTTGGTAATGAAAATGAAACTTCTTTATACTTTTTATAGGTTAAGTTAACGGTTAAGTTTTGTACATTTAAACTTGTATATTTTTTATCTATACTGTACTTAAACGCCAAACGTTAATTTGTAACGAAATGCGCCATATTTTAATTTTAAGATCTGACATCGTACGTTAAATTAATTGTTGTATTATAATAACAATGAACTTGTGGAATCTATTGTAAATATTGATGTATTAACTTTCGTGAAAATAAATTCTTTTTCACTCCAGCAGTATTTTTATTACACGAAAATTATACCTTTTACCTACCTACACCATAACCATATAAAGATGTTCAGTTCATAGATTTATTCAGTTCTTTTTGCATAAAATTAAATACTACGAAACATGTTATTAATACGTAAATAAATATTTTATTACAAAATGTAAGTAAATTTTAGTCAAAATTTCTTAAGATTAATAAAAGTTGTAAAGGATTTTATATCACCTTGGAGTGTTTATTTAAATGTAGCTGCTATTACACACGATCCTAACATGTTTTAAATAAGACATGTCAAGGCTGGACTTTGTCACTAAGTACCATGTAATTACGTTGTATGTAAAGAGTTCATTATTTTGTCTGTAACATTTACTAAACATTTTTCAAACTTTTTGAATATATAGCGGGACAGGAAGCAATGACACGACGATATTTCATTGTTATTTGTCAGCTGTATGTCTTATACTATTATAACAGGTCAGTAAAATAAAAAATGTCATTTTATAGTTGCTTGCAGTTCTTAAAAAAGTGTTGGCATTGTGGCTTCAGCGTGCGACTCTTATCCCTGTGGTTGTAGGTTCGATTCCCGGCTGTGCACCAATGTACTTTCTTTCTATGTGCGCATTTAACATTCGCTAGAACGGTGAAGGAAAGCTCAGAACAGAGAAGAGTGGAAAGAAATGAAGGAGGCCTTTGCCAAAGTTGGGCAAACAGATGGGTTGTCGGTGTCACCGACTCACTAGTGATAATAGTTTAAGTTTAAAATTATGTAAAATTTTCTGTCTGGCTTAAAGGCTTTTATTATTATTATTATTAGAACGGTGAAGGAAGAAATCGTGAGGAAACCGGCTTGCTTTAGACCCAAAAAGTCGACGACGTGTGTCAGGCACACAGAAGCTGCTCACCTACTTGGCTATTAGATTGACAAATGGTCATGAAACAGATACAGAAATCTGAGGCCCAGACTTAAAAAGGTTGTTGCGCTACTTATTTATTTATACATAATTAAAACTTGCTGTTACTTTGAGTTCGTTTGGTTGGTTTCATTAAAATGACAAAACCTTATACCGTGTGCAGCCGGGTTGTGAACGCACGACCTCAGTGTTAAGAGTTACACGGCCAACCTGCTCATGGCCTACCTACTGAACTGGACTGCCTACTGAATCAAATAAGTTTTCAAAAAGTAGCCGCCGATTCACCCACATGGCTTGATATCGCATTACATTTCTATTGATTCCAATTTATCATGCAACCTTTTTTTAGTTTTTAAAAATGTTACTAATGATGCTATCTCAATACATCTTTGTCCAAAAGTAATTGATTTTTATCGATCCGAGGTTGGGAATCAGCATATAAGATGGCAAACGGTTGTTAATAAGGGTGACTAAGTGTGCCTATGTAAGTACCAGCGCTGGTACTCCATAACTTCTAATAGCGATGGCAATAATGATCTCGAGGTATTTGTACCTTAAATATAGATCTTTCAATGTCCGCAACCTTGAGATCGTGCGGTACAAATAAGCAACGCATATTGCTGGTACGGCACGCTCCATAGAAACCGGTAGAGCAGCTGTCACCTGCAAGTAATCGTCTAGGCCCTACTACCTGCATCTGCCGTTTGGCAAGACGCAATGCTGAGTTGGAATTAAGCTATTTTTGGAAATTTGATTTGATAATAAGCAAATATAATTTATAAAATTCTACATAATGCCCTTACAGCCCCATACTTATAGTATATAAGTATAGTAAGTTTATCCGATGAATTATACTAAAATACTAATATACGCATTAATTTAGCACTGGTTAAAAGTTAAAAAAAATTGTAATAAACGTATTTAGAGGTTACCTAAACACGGCTTCGTTGCGATGTTCAGTTCATTAAAAGTATAATCTAATTTACTCTAATACTATTTTCATTTTATTGTTTTGTATGTAATCTGTAAAAAATTACAGAATCGACTTTGAAACTAAGCTATCAATGAACATTCTTTTCATATTTAAAAGAATATTCTGTAGCTGCGGGCTCCGCGTACCTGAAATGTACAACTGTACTAATATAACTCACCCCACCTTAAAACTCACAACTCAAACCACCCCATCGTACATCGTGCGTGCAGCGATGCCGCCGCTGATATTTACACTCTTAAACCTAAAGCATTATTTGAAGGAATCAATTATTGTACATAAATAATGAATCTAGTCTTGACTTTCGAGCAATAATAATTAATAAATGTAACAAAACAACCATAGGTATTATAAGATTTTCAACTAGGTGCGCGCTGGAAAAATTCACGAATGATACATAAAACTGCACGTTTTATCCACTTACACTCCCAGGTTACTTAGCTATTTAGTATAAATAAAATAAGTTCATCATAGATCCTTAAGCTAAAATATGCTACCGTAGTTAAAAGTCGGACTCTAAAATCCAGCTGCTTACAATTATACCAAATACCAATTAGATATAGAGATAGATATTTTTAATAATTAGATAATAATAGATAAGTGGTATGTAATAATACTGCTTTTACCACGCCATCTATAAAACTTGGATTCAAAGGTTTTGTTGTTTGCATTTCTATGGTAATAAAAAATAAATTTACTTTGAAACGATTGTATGCCACTCGGCAGCTAATGACTATAGGCGCCATCTCTCAATTGAATAATAAACAATGTGATCGTGTTCAAAGTTGTATTGAAACCAAAGTGAAACTTTTACCGTAGTTTAGGTTATGTTCAAACAGATCTATACGGTTCGAAATTTTTTGCAGTGTTGCTTCATTTTATATTTATTTAATTAATATTTTTAGCCTTTTGTTTATTAGTATTTATTTCATGGTAATAATTCTATGTTTTTAATCCTAAAAGTGATTTCTGAGATTCAAGAGTAATAGGAACATAAAACAGTACATATATTGATTTTGCTTACGATAGGAACTGCGCAGCCGCGGGATTTTTAAAAGCAAGCTGACCCAGTAGAATATTTAATTTCGCCAGAATTAAAGAGAAAGTAGAGCGTATAATACACAAAATTCCTTATTCGATACTGGAGATAATATTATATGGTGTTTAATTTTTTTGGTTTATTAATGTTCGAGAGGAGTAATACAACAAGAAATGGGCAACGCACAAGGTGGAGAAAAACAACCTAAAACAGGAAAGTCTCCAGCAAAGGGCAGGCATTTTATGAGAAGCTTGAACAAAAGGGCCTCTGGAAGAGAGAAAAAGAGCCGTAAAAAGAGCACTGCGAAACAGGCGGCAATAGATAGGGAGTGTGATAAGACTTCGGAATCAGATAACAATGAAACGGTTGAGGCATCTGATAACGATACGGTCGAGTGCGTGTTTAAAACATCACGAGTGGAAGGGGGCGCGGAGTCGAGTGTTCAGTCAGAGGTAACGGTGACCAGGTGCGAGCCGAGCCCGCGGTCACCGACCCGCGACCAGTCTCCCGCCGCCGCCGCGCAAACCTCCTCACCCGCGGACCCATCCACGTCCGATTCAGTGTTTACAGACCCTCTGAGCCCTCTTACGCCGCTCGCCGTCGAGCTTAACCAATGCTACTACTCCGCGGAGAGTGACAGCGCGCAAGACGATCTCCCACGCACTCTCACCCCTCTCGACATTAATGCGCTCACGCATTTCGACTTTTCTGACGGAACAACACCGGAAATGCCGCACGAGGAAAATGCCTCACGTGACGTAGAAAAAGAAAACAGTGACATATGCGATGACAAAAGTGTCAGGGATGAAAGTGTTAAGGTTATGGGTGCATTTTCATCGAAATTAAAGGATGAGCCGGTTGATCGAAGAACGCATGAGTGCAGCCATGATTTCCTTGATAACCGGCTGAAGACTTCTCCAGGACAAACGTCCTTTACATTGTCCAGACATCGGAAAGTTGAATTGCCTCCTGTGGGTGCAGAATCATCACTATCAGTACTAGGGAGCGGTAAGTTTAAGGACTTACTACCAGGTAGTTGTGAACAATAATTTGCCTTAGTTCTTAAAAATTCCATTATGTTTTTAAATTCATTTAAGGTATTTTTTAGAATCAAACCAATTTGTTACAAATACGAACAAAGTAGATACTTATAAAGCATTTCGGCTATGCCTTATACGATATTATTATTAGGCCATTTAAATTATATATTTTTAAATAATATATTTTGATATAAGTATATATCGCGATAAATTTTGCTACATAAATTTAAAATACATTACTAAGATTTTAATTTTGTTTGGGAAACTTCTTAATCTACTAGACTAGTCCAAACTTATTATAAATTATCTACTTACTTGTCTTTTGATCTCTGACCTAATTATTCTTGCAATGCAGATATCAAGGTTTTTGTTTATACGAAGGCATAGTTAGCTACTGACGATTTACAAATATTTACGTCTATACATTATATCATTCTAAGTATACCCTTATGTCTAATGGGGTAATATATAATCCCGATGCCCTGAGTTCAATTCTCTGACCACTTGCAATGTAATGATAAAATACCATAACAGTTATTGCTTAAGTAGCATACTTCAATTAAAGTTTACGAAAGCTGGAGAGATCACATTTTGTTTATCTGTATTCGATTCCAATTGCTAGTCGCTATGAAAAGCCCATTAGGTATAACCAAACAAGCTACGACTGTGATTTTTATCATCTGTCACGATTTGTCAATTAAGGTTTATACAAGAAACCATTACATTTCATTTAACTATATCCAGATACCATACAAACGGGTAATTGTTGTTAGTTCGTAGAAATGTCATATGATTTATAGGAATTCTATTTTCTGGACAAAATTTATTTCTCAAAACATAATTTATTTCTTCACTAAATCCGTTGAATATGTATAAAATGATCGTTGTTGGCTTTATAATTGCTACATTAATGGAATATAGGAATGAAATTTGTTTTACTTTTATACAGTTATAGGCAGCATACAAAAGTGAAGATCAGCTATAACTTATATGTATAGGTCCCTTGCACAAAGGAATAATACCGAAACCTTTTGAAGTACCTCCTTGGGACGGTGTTTAAAATACCGCCATAAATACACCTGCAGCACTTTTTGTTCATTAAAAGTGTTCCTACTCATTCCTGTTTGTCATTATTCACTGCAGTCTTGACATATTATATATAATTACTTTTCTCGGTTCCCAGTAGCAATCAGGAATTTATATTTGCAAGAAACTGAAACATAAGTAATAAATCCAAGCTAGATATTCGAAAATGGTTGAATAATGTTTACTCAATTACCCTTATTATACAAACTACTAATTACAAATTGGAAATTTGTAGCTTTCACGCTTAAGCTACTGAACTTATTAACTAACAACTAACTTTGATTGGTCAGGTATTATGTAATGTATATGTATTTAAATCTTTCAGAACCAGATCGAAGACATTCCAGTGTAAGCGATGTTCCTTTGCCGGAGTCTAACGTGTTGAGAAAAGTGGCATCTTTGACACTGGAAAAGCATTCAGAGGTCAAAGTAGTTCGCCCCAAGTATGTTCCCGAGAAACTGGATTTCCAACTGTACGAAAAGTTCGAAGGTTGGTCAAGTTAATAAAGCCTTAATCTGTAATCTTATGATAATATATTTTTTAATCATTCATAATAGGATATAGTGACAATATAGTATGTAATTTAATATCTTTATTTATGCAGCATAATCAGCACTTCCCCATTTATTATATGCACTTAAACGATTCAAGTAGGTAGGTTGTAAGTCATATCAGCAACTCCTTTTTAAACTACCTACGTACTTTTTAATATGGCGCCTTGTAGGTGAATGAACACAATAATTTGATAAGTATCTTATCTTGTATTACTAAATATAACTACCTATAGCGTCTAATTGTTATCTTAACGAATCATTTTGCTTCAGTATAGATAATGAGTGGCAAGTGTCGTGAATACGTGACCTAGAATAAAAGTTGGTGTAAGGAAATATGCGGTTATCCACAAATCGTGTTAATTTCACAAACAGTTCAGTCGCGCAATTTAATTATGTGAAATTTTTATCTAAATATCAATCAAAAAGGAAAGGGATTCAGGATATAGTGACTATATTAGGGTTACATAAATATGAGATTGTATCTTACGAAATCCAACCAGTGGAAACTGATGACCGTTGCAGAAAATTGCAATGGCCACAAAATTCTTTAGTATTGAGCGTTTCTAAGAAATTCTGTATTAATTTTGAAAGAACAATGCGGTGGTATGTTGTTGTGCTGAATATACATGGTAAAAGTATGAAAATGATATTTGAATACAATTTAAAACGTAGAGAAGTTACAACTAAGCTACTGATTAGGCAATGCTTTTCAAATATCACAATTTACCGTAACAAAAGAGTATGTCTTGATACGAGTACGTCTTGTCGTCGACCACGTAAGTTTGGAACTTTAACATTCTTTATTTATTTATATATACCTATACTATAATGTACATACTTTCGTACTCGTTAAATTTTAGGTGACATTGATAAAAATAATTTGTAATGCATGGTGTTTTTATAATAAATTTTTATAAAGTGTAAAGTTGTAGCAGCTCGTTATGGAACGCCAAATTAAAAACTTTATGTTGTACTATAAAAACCCAAAAGAAAACTAAAATTGTGGTAATTAATAAAGGTAGAAATAAGAAAGAAAATATTTTTTGAGGCTAAATCTTTGAACGTTACGGAAATAATAACTATTAATTTTCATGTAAAAATTAAATACCTAAACGATAAATAGGATTCTGAGAAGTTAAGAGGATTAAGGAAAGTACCCTATGGAATAAATAATAATTATAACTATATTACACCGGGGCAACACTGCGGCATCGTGGCATGCCACAAGGCCGCATGCTACAAAGTTAAAAATGTCGCACATTGTGGCAAGAACCGTGCAGCATGGAAACACCTTGCGTCATGTGGTAGTCGTTTTTGTTTGTATTTGTTTTGGAAAGTGAGAATTATCAGTCATGAAGTCGTGTAACGAAAAATATTTAGACTTAAAAAAAAGAAATAATTTAAAAAAAAAGTCCTCCGTTGACATTCTGGTAAAGTTTTAAAATAAGGCACCTTCATTTTTGTTCGTAAACTAGTCCGTGGGCCATTCTGAAGTTTTTTTTTTTTTTTTTATAGAACGGGGGGCAAACGGGCAGGAGGCACACCTGATGTTAAGTGACACCGCCGCCCATGGACACTCTCAATGCCAGAGGGCTCGCGAGTGCATTGCCGGCCTTTTAAGAATTGGTACGCTCTTTTCTTGAAGGACCCTAAGTCGAATTGGTTCGGAAATACTTCAGTGGGCAGCTGATTCCACATAGTGGTGGTGCGCGGCAAAAAGTAATTGAAGTAATTTTCTTTTCCACCAACGTCTCATCTTCCGTTGTTTAGCTGCATGGCTTAGTGGTAACTAAATAAGCTGCTGCTAAAGTTACTTGATCAGCCATATTCTATGATGTATCCCCTCGATCAAACAAGTAGATAGACCATTAAAACTCCATAGACAGCAATGCTTTGGAAATTATCCAGGAACTATGTTGCCTTGGCGTAAAATATTCTGCCGTATGCCATAATTATGCCGATAATTCTTTCTATTTGTAGCATGCCGCAAAGTGCCGCATGCCGCAATGTGTAGCATGCGGCTTTGTCGCACGTTGTTGCCTCGGCGTAAACCAGCCTTTAGAGCTCATCATCGTAGTAATTACTTATACTAAATTGAGTCTTGAAAACGACGTCACTTTTTAAGAGAAATACTATGTCAAACTCAAAGTCAGCTGTCAATTTAAATTTCGAAAACATCGTTCTTGAATGAATGTTGACTTTTGTGAATTATTTATCGTAGTTAGTCAAGTCGACTTCAGTTATTGATTTGAAAATTTTCTGTTATTGTACGATGTTTTAGTATTTAAAGCAATTTTTTTGCTAATTTATAAAGATTTTTAATAAGTTTACTAAAGTTATACATACACAAATATAAATATTAAAACTTACAAAATGATTATGGATTAACACCACCCACCCATTACAAATATTAATAATCTTCGGAAGAACATCCAAATAGAAATTAATAATTTGTTCATAAGCACATTGAGGTAAAGTTCTTCTTTCTACTATTATATAAATATTATAAAGTTAGGGTTTACATAAATATATCATGAAATTGGCTATATTTTTATCCGCCTACTCAGTGCAACTTTTAATATCTAAAAATTTTATTTGATAGTTAAACATATCATTAGACATAGATCATATATTGTTTCAGGACAGATGCTTCTAAATTGGTTCGTGTCATCGTCCGAAGCAAACATAGTGAAAAACATCTCAAACAGCCAAGATCTCCGTACTCTTGGTATACAGTATTGTACTCATTTGTTAGCAGCTGGTGTGTTATGTCAAATATCAGATAAAGATGCACCCACAGAAAAAATATTCAAGGTATTTAACCTAGAATAGGGAGCAATCATTATTATAATATTATATTTTAGGACATTAACCATTATATTTTTAATTCATAATAAAAGAATAGTAAAATTCTACTATCACTTGAAAAAATCGTTTTGAAAGTAGTGCAAAATGTTGCATCTAATTTTCTCATACTTATTTATGCAATCTTTATAAATCATAACATATAGTTAATTATAAGCGTATAATAAATTGTAATTATTTACAGTTTTTGTGTTTTTCAGCCTAATTTAATGTACTACTGGGCACATATGGAGTCACCAGTTTCACAACCACATGCACCAGGACGGCTGCACACAACATCATGGCCACCTCATTTTGACTCATGTTCTGAAAAATTCAATCTAAGTTGTCAGCCTCAAAAACAATATACTGCTAATAATTTTGAAGAAATCAGAGATATCTCTGAAGCTAGACAAGTTATTGCAGATTTAATAAGAAAACTGCAGGAATTAGAATACAAATTAGAAAATTCTAAGGAACACTCCATAGGCATAATAAATTTAAAAAATGTGAATTCAAATAACTACTTAAAGGATAGACAGAAAATAGAGTTGATTAGTCGTGAAATTCAAACAAATAATTTAAATAATGATGATGGTAGGTTGGCTGGAAAATCTGTGATATCACCTTTAAAACCTGATTCTTTAATAAGAACAAGTGTAAAAAATGATTGTAGTATAGCAGTAAGTAAATTAGATCGAGATAAATGTGATTATGAAGTTTTAGGAGACCCTGAACAAAGATCTGTTAAAATAGAAAATTATTGTAAGTTGAATAAGAGCCGAGAATGTAATTTAATACTTAAAAATGATGATTATGCAGACAAAAGAAGTAGTAGTGATATAGTTAATAAATTAGAAAAGCAGCAAATTAATGAAACACAAAAAATAAATAGACTTTCAAGTAATAATTTAAATGTGAATGTGTTAAATGACAGTTCTTCAGATGCTTCATATGTCAGTACGACTGCTGATGTTACTCTAAATCAAACTATTTTAACTGAAGATAAAAGCCTATTCAGATCCCTCAGTCCTCCCCTGATGCAAGTTTTATATGCAAAACAAGATAATAATTATGTTGCATCAGAATTCTCATCATTAGATTTTACACAATCTGAACAGAGCTGGAAATCAATTGAAGCTGAAAAAAGTGATTTGTCATTGTCAGGAAACATGACAGAGAGTGCAATTAAATCAGAACAAAAATCTGAAGCGAAAGATATAAAATGTATTCCAAAATCCTTATCAGAAAGTGATAAGAGGTCAGAAAAAGCTACATCAATGTTATCCACATCATCTTTAACTACAGATGTCTCGAAACCTTTAGCAGAAAATATGGTGGAGCAACAACCGCCACCTATGCCAGGAATGTCTCCTTCACCACCACCTACTCCAGGAACAAAATCCACCACTACATCCACTCCTGTCAATGAATCTGTTCCTCCTTTGCCTGATATCATTACATTAAATGCCCTAATACCTCCACCACCTCCACCAACTAAAGGTAATGAAGAACATGTAACTCCAACCATTGCACCTAAGGAGGCTTATCCTTCATTATCAAGGGCCGAAGTAGATCTAAGACAAGCCTCAGAAAAACATGTTGTTTCCCCACAACCCCTTCATATTCCAATACCATCTATGGCTCCACTATCTCTGATGCCAAAACTGGATCTGGCTTCGCCAACCCAAAAGATGTTAGAATTGGCTCCTTTACCTCCACCATTACCAAGTCTAGATCAGCCACCGCCACCAATTTCTGGTAAAGGACCCCCGCCTCCGCCGATGCCCGGTATGGGTCCTCCGCCGCCGCCAATGCCCGGAATGGGTCCCCCGCCACCGCCAATGCCCGGTATGGGTCCCCCGCCGCCGCCAATGTCTGGTATGGGTCCCCCGCCGCCGCCAATACCCGGTATGGGTCCCCCGCCGCCGCCAATGCCCGGAATGGGTCCCCCGCCGCCGCCAATGCCCGGTATGGGTCCCCCGCCTCCACCAATGCCCAGTATGGGTCCCCCGCCGCCGCCAATGCCCGGTATGGGTCCCCCGCCTCCACCAATTCCCGGTATGGGTCCCCCGCCGCCGCCAATGCCCGGTATGGGTCCGTCATCAACACCTAATGTGGGACCTCCACCGCCTCCTATACCAGGTATTGGTCCTCCACCCCCTCTCATGACAGAAATGGGACCCCCTCCGCCTCCAGGAATTCCACCATCACCCTCGGGACCTACACCCTTTCCGACACCCCCCGTTGGTGGTTGGAGTATGCAAAGATCCAGTGAGTATAGTTTTATTATATTTTATACTTTTATACATATTTTGGTTCTACAATATTTACTATAGTAGTCTTTAATTTATTATTTGAAACTTATCAGAAGATTAGTTCGTCTAAGCAAGGCACAAAAACTTGGAAAAATTGTATAAGTTTGCCCCGCGTTTGGTTTGTTCCTATTCTTAGTCAAAAGAAGAAATGTAGTGAAAAAGTAAATAATCAAACGAACTGTGTACATCATTACGATTTGAATGGATGGTTAAGACTTAATTTTAAATTATAGATTTACTCGCAGCTTGTTTGGTACACACGTACACACGATTACATTGACTGTAGTTAGGTAAATTATTCTTTTCTATTCCAGCTCTAAGAAAACCTCCTATCAAACCAGCAGCGCCCATGAAGCCTCTATATTGGACACGAATTTTGGCAAATTCTGTACAAAATGGCCAAGGCGAAGTAGATTCTGGATTCAAACCATTATGGCTGGAAATTGACGAAACAAAATTGGACAACATCGATGAATTCATGGATCTCTTCTCTAGACAAGTGGTCAAAGCCCCAGTAAAGAAAAAAGTAGAAGTTAAAACAAAAATACAGCCAGTAAAAATATTAGACAGTAGACGATCACAAAATGTCGGTATATTCGTACAAAGTTCGCACTTAGAGTTTTCAGAGATTGAAAACGCCATATACAATTTTGATACGTCGGTTGTGAGTTTAGAAGTATTACAACAGATGTATGAGTTGGTAAGGTATTCACCGTTCATTATTTGATTTTTCTTATTTATAATGCAAATTAGCATTATACCATATATATTATTATAGAGTCATAGCCCTATGCCGTGTAAATAATTTTATTACAAACTTAAAATTAAATATTAACAATATTTTTTTTATTTTTAAATCCATTGCCTTCAGATTTCATTAGAATTTGTAATTTAAATGTGTAACACAAATCAATACCCATGTTCTTAATTTGCAGCGCGCAACTAATGAAGAATTAGAAATGATAAAAGAACATTTGACAAACAAACCTGAAATACCGTTAGATAAGCCCGAAGCGTTTTTACATGACCTCTCTGGAATACCAAATTTTGCGGAGCGGATATCATGTTTTATGTTCCAAGCGGAATTCGAGGATGCTGTAAACACAACTATGCATAAATTAGATAATTTGAAACATACATGTGAGGTGTGTTACATTTTAATTAACAAGTGGCCGACGAATTATTGCGTAAAGTGTTAAATATTATCTACACATTGGTTCTAGATAACGCACGCTATTAAGCGGATTTTTTAAATTTTGTTTTCACTTAATTTCCATTTCCCGTTAAAAGCTTGCTACGAGGCAAAGCGCTAAACTGCTCTGTTACGCTATAAAAAACTAAATTTGAAAAATCTTATAGCATTGATCGTAAGATTTTTTGATTTGATCGTAGTCAAAGTTGGTGTACTCTTGGTCGTAAGGTGAAGGAAAACATTGTGACGAAACCGACCTCGGTGATCAGTCTTAGACCCAAAAGTGGACAGAGTATGTCGGGCACAGAAGAGTGATCACCTACTTACCTATTGGAAAAAAAAAACACCTGAGATCTTCAACGGATTTTTTCATGATTATAGATAGCATGACGCCTTTTTGTTGCGCCTAATTCGTTTCCTGTCAAAAAATTCGGCGAAAAACGAGTATGAAAAAATAAAGAACACAAGAACAGTTGACAGTTTTAAAAGTTTTTTTGTATCTGTGTTGATTTCATACAAAAGCCTGCTTGGCTCAGTTTTGTAATAAGTAAACTTTTCATTTTAAAGTTTATTAATAATTGATTTGTTTTTTTACAGTTCCTAACAAGTAATGAATCTCTAAAGCAGCTATTTGCAATAATTTTAACTCTCGGGAATTATATGAATGGAGGCAATGGTCAGAGGGGGCAGGCTGATGGTTTTGGTCTAGAAATCTTAGCGAAGTTGAAGGATGTGAAGGTATTTTTTCTATTAAAAATTCCTTTAAATAGCCAATTGTAACAGAAGCCATGACTTTTAGAACTATACAGTATATTGGAAAATGTTTTAAAAGTTATATAAGGCATAAATCACGATTTTTTTAGTTTAAATAAAACAAAAAGTATACTTCTAAGCCCCCGTATTTATAAATACTGAATCAGTATTACTGTTCAATCGTTATAACACTGGTAGATAAAGAGATCAGTAAGGTTTTTCACTAAAATTATTTATCAGTGAGACTGGGAAAAATAAATAAAAGAAATTTTATTTATTTAGGACTTTTCTCCCTGTATTTTTTTTAGATTTTGAAGTTATAATTAAATTAAGTATTATCGAAAACTATTTGGCTAAGAGATTAGTAGCTCAGACGTTAAATTTCTTTTAAGTAAATTAAAAATTAAATTATTTCATATACTTGAATCTTCTTGTCCACAGTCAAAGCAGTCGACAGTAACGCTACTGCACTTTATAGTAAAGACGTACATGCGTCAACGAGGGGGCGCCCTGTCCACAGAATGCACGCTGCCTGTGCCCGAACCGGGTGACGTACAGCGAGCGGCTGCTATCGACTTCGCAGATGTCGCTGCTAATCTTGGGTCACTGCGGAAGCAGCTTGACGGTATTAATTACTATCAAAGCGATTTAATAGTATAAGCCTATATCCTTATCCCACTAACCCTTTAGTCAAGTTTTCGTTGATGATTTATTATGACGTACATAAAGCTAATAGAGTTTATTATTTGGGTTTAAAGTAATTTAAAAGTTGTAATGTTCTTTAAAGTATAAGCTATGATTTCAATTTTTTTTAATAAATGCCAAATAGCCAATTCTTGTATAATAAGTATATATGTTCTCTGATGTTACTAAAACTAAAACCAGGTTTCCGGTACCTATTGCAAGTTCGTATGTTTATCCTGGTGGTCCTGGATTCTACTTCCGCTAAAGTAAAATACTGATTTGCTAAACTTGTTATACATTAAAAAAAACTGTAAATTGTGAGTTAAAAACTAAATAGATAAAGATAGGATAAGTGACCATTAAGAGAAAGTAGTTCCATCCAAAAATTTTAGATTTGTTTTCATGTCTATAAAATTATTCATTCCATAGGATGTAAAGAAAAAATGAGCAAAGTCATAGATGCCTACGAGAGAAATCCAGCTGATGTGGCAAATGAGAACAAAAGAATAGAAGTTTTCAGAGAGAAAATGACCACATTTATTGATGCAGCCGAAGAAAAATTAAAGACTGAAGATGACAACTTGTCTGAGTGTAAAAATAGATTCATATCCACTGTGAAATTTTACCAGTACAAACCTAGGTGCGGCAGTGTTGAAGATTGTGAACCTAAAGAGTTTTTTTCATTATGGACCTCATTTTGTAGTGACTTCAAAGACATCTTTAAAAAAGAAGAACAGCTGGCAATTAAGGAAAAGTAAGGACAAATTTGTTTCCTAATATTTATTCTGAATATCTGCTCCTCCAGCTCTGCGACTTAAGTGTTATTCAATGCATGCTGTAGATTCGGTTCATAAACAATAATAATTGTGTCCAATACACATAATTTATGTAAAACAGATAATACAAAATGTTATTGCTTATGGAATTTATAAAATGTGGTATCAGTTAGTTTAATAATGCATGTACAAATTGTATGTAAAAAATCTTCTGGGTGGAGAAAAAAACAAACATAATACACATGTTATGTTACAACTGCAACTTTGTTAAATATATGTTTTCTCGTCATTATATCCTCAAATCTTTTGCAGGTTAAAAGAAACGAAAAAAATGCATGAAGTACGAAAAGCTCAAACTGTCACACAACCAAAAAAGGAAGGTGGCCTAAAGGCACGACTTCAAAAGTTGTCCAGTGTGTCCAGAAAATGACTAAATTATTTTATACTACTAGTGAAACCATAGTGTACCTGTAGCTTTTCTATTTGCAATCAAGAAAGGGTGCTAAATAACTCAATTTTTTTAGAAGCATTATTTTTAAGTTAAACTAAATTACTCAGTGACTAATTATTTTTAAGTGGTTCTTTACAATGAATTGTATTGGTATGAGTGTACTTAGCATGTTCAAAAAGATTTTGTAACCATTTATGTAAACAATGGTAGAGTCAAATGTATGTGATTGTTGTAATTTTTTTATATTGATATTGCAATAGGCTGTGATGTGAAATATCAGCATTTATAAACAAAATCACCAATCAATAAATGTTATATAAATAATTGATAACAGTTAAAATCATGATCTGATATTGATAATTAAATAGGTCTTATTTAAAGTTTGACCATATAACTAACCAACTGAAATTATTATTTATTAAATGAGATAATTAAAAGATAAATAAAAAATATGCAACTGTAGGAACTTCTCAGTTAATTTGTGGCTAATAATATTTTACATTGATACTAACTGGATTTATTTAGACTAAAAAAAAGACATGATAATAATTATTCTATAAATGTAGGCTACAGGCATGTATTCTATAAAAATGTACCTGATAATATATTATTTATTATCTTTAAAGCATGTTCTATTTATTAATGGTGCTTGATGAAACTCACATTTGCAAGTGAGATTTGGTGAATAAAATGTTTCTAATGTTAAAAGTATTTTATTTGTAGTAGAGACATTTTTCATACCATATATATTGTATTTTTCTATTAAGCTTTCTAGGTAAACATCCATCTTCTGTTAGTTTTAATAATGATGCTTTTAATGTAAGCCACTGCATTACTGATAAGTGTCCAGTTAGAGCTTTATCGTCATTTTTATTTCTATAAATTTCCTCGATGTCAATAAATTTTTTTAAACTATTGTTATTACTTATATTGTCAATCGAATGAATATAAGTAATAACATTAGAATCTCTCTTTTCTACAACTATACCTATATCTTCTGCCATAAAAGTTTCTTTGACCTGTGATTTATCTAGAATTGCTTTAGATATTTTAGATACAATTTTATCATTAACATGCCGTGATACAGGTACACCTATATCATTATCTTGTAAATATGGATTCCTTTCATTTGGTGTTTCCTTTATGGTAGTGATAGTCAAATTAACTTCCTCTGGAACTTCCATGTTTTCATTTATCTTATTTACAAACTCAAAAATACTATCACAAAGGTTACCGTCGAAGTCTTTAGGTATCATTGCTTCCATTTTTATTTTTACTTTATGTGTCCATTCAAAATTGCCATAATCATTCAGGTTCTTTAAATCACACCACACTTCCATATCATCTGGCAGTTTATACTCTGGTGGTAAAAAATTCAAACCCTTGGGTTGCAGTATCTTTAAAAGAGGATAAAATTGGTTATACCAATTGCACGAGTGCTGCAGTAGTACTTGTGCCATTGACCAGATACGACTAAGTAAAGCATATGGCATGAGACACATCCAATGGCTTTCTCCTCTTTTTATTCTATCTAAATAAAAAACAGCAGCCTGCTTAGCACATATAACTATTCTTAACATCAGTTTAGAAAACGACATGATTCTAACTAAAACATACTCCATCATCTGTCTTGTAGGAAAATAAAGTTCGTCATCTTTGTTAGGTAAAAGAGACGCAAATCTTTGGAGGTCTTTCAAAAGATTCAGAGTTAAATACTTTTTTAGTGCAGTATTTACCTTTTTAAAGTTACGATAACCTATATCATTACGAAATTTTTTATCAAATTTATATAAGAAGCGGGAAAACAACGCACTTTCTTGATGTAAAGGTGATTGTTTGGATAACACTTGAATGATGTTGTTAGTGTTATGTCTAAGGTCTCTTATATCTGAAAAAGGAAGTTATAATTGAGTACTTGCTTTGAAATATAGCGAATAAAATAAAGTTAAAATTTGACATGGCAAACCTTTGTAATTCTTGCATAAAAATGTATTAATTGGAGGAGGCAAAATAGCTTTATTATTCCACGGTTCCAACATGTTTGCTTATTCCAATTGAAAAATGACAAGTTATTACCAGAAAATATTGATTAACCTCGACAGTCGAAACGATATTTTGATACGTCGTTAAAATCGAGCCAGGCTACATAGTCTTATTTTCCAAATTTCGATTTTACGCATATATTTGTAATTACTTTGCTTCATTTATTCAATAATAAATTCCACACTCTCGTGAAACAAAGGAATTTAGAAATTAGACAATTTATTTTGTAAATATACTAATTAGTAATTACTACATTACATAAAATATAATAACTCGCTGTTCGCATCTATGATTTTTTATTTTTTTTAAGCAGGCAGCAGCACAGATTAATTACAGATGAGTTACTACTTACTATACTCTGTGTTATTCATACGTGTTATTGTATTCCCTACTAAATTAAATATAATTATAGTCTATCGCATTGTATTCTTTGTAGAGCTTAGAGTATTAAGCCAGAAAGGAGACGCCATCACTCGAACGATGCTAATTATTTTTTCTGCCAAAACATCGGCGGGGGACGAGGCACTCACACAGACAAAATTTTACTACAGAAACAAATTGCACAATGTTTGTACACACGCACACAAACCTAATTTGCTTACACAAGAGTAACCGCAACGCACACATTTAAAGAAATCGTATCTTTACACGTTACATGTACAGCACACATACGCAACAATCCCGACATAATTAGAGCTACCACCATGTCGATAAGGAATGTCGATAAAATTTATTTATTCAATCATTCAGTTGTTCATTCTATTCTGCAATAGCAGAAATATTCTAAAAAAAAATTTTTTCACACATGCGGTGGCAAATTGTGAACTAATGGCGCCACAAGCGACTGCACCCAAACTCTATGAATTGGTCAGTTTCAGTGTGTATAAGGATAAGTAGTGTCAAGTTCTTGCGTGACTCAAGCTAATAACGGACTTTGGTTTGGGTACCGTCCCTCATGGCTTCATTAACTTTCACTAAGGTGAAGTAGTGCATCAAGAAGGACACTAGCGCTCCATGTTTTTATTTATTTTATTTAAACAAACAACTGAATGTACATTGGACTTTTCTTTCTTCTTCTTTTCTTTCTGTTTTCTGTTTTTGCGACAGTTGCACCTTAGGAGAGTATGTTAGCGATGATTTCTAAAGTGTTTATAGCATTTCTAAAATATTTTAGAGAAAATTTGCAATACATTACTATACGGCTAATATTTAGAAGAAGTTATGCGCTGGTCTCCTCCATGACGCTCCATCCTAAATGTAATAAAATAGGCAATTAAAACAACGTACTTAAGAAAAAATATTTATTACAAAGAGGTTAAAAAGTACAACAGGGGGTTTCTAAACACATAAAGGCGACTCCTTTCTGGCTTAATACTCTAAGTTGTAGAGTGATGGTAAAATAATTATTGTTGATACTTAAAATTATAAAACAACTAGCTGCCCCCGAGAACTTCGTTTCTCCTTAATATGACTTTACTGAGCCTTTTTAGTACCTAACAACTTGGAACATTTTCTTATGCTACCACGGAGACCGTTCGATTTACCGGAATGAAAACTTTTCAGGTTTTTCTGTGAATTATTAAATAAACTAAATAAATTCTCTATAATAAACCTCAAATAAAACTTAGAAGTTTAAGTCATAAGTTTTAAATTTATAAATAAAAAATAAGGGTTGATCGTAGAGGGGTAAAAATTAAGGGTTGCATGTATTTTTATATGTTGTATCATAAAAAAAAGTTAATTTTATCCAATAGTATTTTTTTTGGGGTGAACACCCCTTATCATTTAGGGATTTGAAAGATTGATGTTGTCCGATTCTCAGACTTACTGAATATGCATACAAAATTTCATAAGAATCAGTCAATCCGTTTCGGAGGAGTATGGGAACGAACATTGTGACACGATAATTTTAATATTAGATGATTTCGTGGAGACACCGCTTATATCTGTCTGTTTACGGTAAACTCAAAAACTACTGCACGAAGTTTCATACGTTTTTCACTAATTTAGTGTGTAGAGTGATTAAGTATAATTTATCAAGGTTTCTGTGCCACCCACCCATCACGATTTTAAAAATAGTATTTTGAGCTCTACCTGAAAAACACAAAAATAATATATAAAAATCGGTCTAACCATTTCATAGGAGCTTGGTTACAAACACTGTAACACGAGAATTTTATATATTTAGAGATAGAAGAAATAACGAAATTAATATCTTTTTATGTTTATAACATTATTTTATTTCATAAAACATAATACCTATACCCTTATACATTGTTAAAGTGTAACTTTCCTTAATTCGAGCGGATCAGTTTATTCCATGTCTTCCAGTAATTGCTCTCTTATCAAGCCGTCGACTATAGTAGAATCTGGTGGAAGCCACTCACAACTGGTGTCCTCTGAAGAGCATACCTGAAGGCGTAATAGAGGTCAAGAAAAATACCTATTCGATATTAATCTGCAGGAGTTTTACCACTACTTCTTTAACGCCGGATAATAAAAACCATTAATAAGAATTATATGCTGACCACTGTGATGTTCTCGTGTCAACCAGTCACTGCTGACGTGCCTATTAAAACTGTAACGAATTGTTTGTGTCTCTGTAAAAATCATTTAGAATATGAATATGACTTATACGATGGTAGTGTCACAATGATGGCATTTAGGCCAGAAATTACCTACCCTGTGAGAAGAGGGCTAATTGCAGTTTAGGGAAAATAACTACATGTTACGATTGACAAGTTTAGTCTAAGAGTTGAACACCCGGAGTTTTGGTGGTAAGCCCCCAGATTTTAATATATAAAAAACAAATAATGTAAAAAGAATCTCAAACCTGACATTTGCAGCTAGCGGCTTCTACGTAATGATACACTTCTGTCCCTGGTTCTACTCCTGGGTCGCAGTGACGTAATTTCAGAGAAGCATGTTTCCGTTCACCGTGAACGCACACAGGATGATGAGATTCCTTATACGGAAACTGCCAGTGAGATATCTGGTAGAAAGTCAAAAATAGTTTCAACAAAACTGACGTTTTAAATGTTTTACTTTACCTAAGTTAAAATACAATATAGGTATACATATATACATAGGTATAACATATAGTTATGACAAAATTTGTTTAACCCTATACAAGCATACTAACCTCGTAAGATAGGCAATAACCCCAACATGACATTATCTTAACGTCATCCCAACATCGAAGTCCATTCAGATCCATTTGAATGGCTTTGTGTGAATATTTTTTTAGCTTACATCTAGCACTTGAAGGGCCAGCATCACATGTCATTATCCAGAAAATCCAAAATGAGAATATGGCCGTTAACGTATTACTCATGATGGTTTCTTTGGCAAAAATGGTTATCTTGCTTCAAGATTAAAACCAATCTGGCTGTTATTTTTGAGGGTAATGTTTATATAGAGAAACAGAGATGGACGTCAAGACGTTACTTCCATGTCAATTCACATCACGACATTCAAGCCATTAGATTTCTTATCGCTTTGAATAAAAATAGAAGACGTTTATACTATTTAGAAATTTGACTTTTTTTTATTTATAAATTAAATAAAGTAAGAACAGGGTTCAACAATAATAGAATTAAAACTATTGAAAATACGGTTTAACGGTCAAAATCTCTTTTATTATCACAATTAAAAGATTCAACACATGATATTTTGTCTGTTTTAAGCATAATTATTTATGAATTCCAAAATTTGTTTTAATCAGAATCGTGATCGCGAAATGAGTTTCGTATTCGGATTCACATGGAAATTGGAATTAGTATACATTAATTATTAAAAATTATACTAAAAGAAAAATAAGAAAGCGCTTGTTCTAAGGCGTAAATCAGTACTTAGTAAGAGGGTAGAGTTTTACAGTTCATATTAGGTATCTAAAGAACGTGAAACGAAAATTATTTCATATGTTTACGTTATAGAACAAATAGCGTATACTTTATTTGCGCATAGAAACACAAGCCTTCTAGGCTTTGGACACCGAAAAAAATATAGAAACTATTTGTAAAGAATTAGAATTGACAGTTTATTATACTCTAATACAATATTTATGAAACTGTTCAAAACAATAAATTTTTTAAAGATTATTCCAATAAGTGCTTACCTTCTTTGAAACATTGTGTAGGGTTTTGCTAATAATTCCAGTGTCGTGTGCCGTTTGCAACTATTATATTCTACTATAGACATTTCGCAATTTGTTATTTTTACTCTGGAAATTAAAAGACGAAACTATTTTTTTCGAAAATCTTCTATATAAGTTGTCGTGCCCAGGTATGGGTGATACTTCTGTGATATATTATCCCTCATCGAACTTTTTAATCACGAATACTGACAGTAATATTTTTAAAGGTAAGATCTCAGTATTATATAACTATATGAAACTATATTATGCATAATATTAAAATTATAATTTACATTAAACATTTTCGTTTCTTACTTGTATTGCTGTTGTAAATATGTAAAATTGCCGTTGCAATTTTTCTTTATAAAAGATACACACATACTTGACAGCCCTAAGTTAGGAAATTGATGGTATTTGATCATCCGCGTGCCTCAGATGAAAAAGATGTCGTTCCTACGTCGGCTCTCGTAATATTCTGGTGGTGGCGGATATCCGTTGCATCCTGAGAAAAATGGAGAGGGCTAATAACTAATCCTATTAATGTTATTAATATTCTTATAGCATAATATTTTAAATTGTCTCTCCGTATTTGTAGCGTGGAAGATTGTTTGCGTTTGCAGCATGATATTGACCGTGTAGTAAATTATTGCAAAAGAATAACACAATGCGCAATAATTTAATTACGTACGAGCACGGTACTCGATTATTTTTAATTATTGAGAATTAAGGAAAATTTAAGATTTGGGGACATTTTTTTAAATGCAGACTTAACTTTTTGAAGTTACATAAAACTTAAAAGATATATGGTAAAAAGCGAATAGGAATTTTGAGTACTTCTAGAGTATGCACGGTAAATTTGGTAATATAACGGCGACCATGACACTATATTCCCACGAGAATGTAAGTGCGTGCTCCTATTTCACCATGCCTACTGCTGATAGAGGACAAGTCTTTGTTTTTATTATTTTTATTATTAATTAACTATTAATTACTTAAGATGCGGAACATGGTGTAATTGTGGCAGCTACTTACAAACATTGTGTAAAACTAAAAACTTGGCGATTAAAAAGAGTGGCGGAGAGTTTAGGCTATAAACTTCTTCTCGTCCGTTCTACGCCCTTGATTTGAGAAATGTCAGTAAATTTAAAATTAGAAGCATTTAATTATTGACGTTCGTAAGTGTACATTGTGTTAACTAAATTTATAAATAACTTTGACTATATAACTCACATGTAAGAAGCCCCTTGAAAAGTAACGTAATGATTTGGGCCCCACATGAAAAGAAATACTCAACTATGGTGGAGCGAATTTACCCGTTCTACCTCATGTATCCGACATTGTTCGTTTCTAAGGAGGGATCTAGCAAATACTCGGTACCTATTTGAAATCCTTATTGGTGGGGTTCATACTGCAGATATGAGATAAGAGAAAATAAGTTTGAAATAAATAAATAACTAATATTTATTCTATTCTAATTTCTTAAGTTTATTTGGCTGAAATCATGCAGGCATATTTAAAATTAAGGTAGCGATTGTAAAATGAAAAGGGATTTGTTACTTGGTATTTATTTAAAGACTCAAGCTTAGTCTGTGGACTCAAATATTCTTATAATATGTATAAATCATTAAATGTCATATGTCCATATGACTTTTGACAGACGCAACTCTTAAATGAAATCGAAATTTAAAAACAAGGGGCAAGGGACAAACACTTGCACGCTATAAGCATATTATTGTTATTTTTTGTAATTATAATAATAATATAATTGAAGTATCAAACGATTAGATATTTAAACTATTTATAGTATATATATATAAGTTAAAAATTAACTGATATGTCCCGACGAACACCAATTAAAGCCCGTGTAAAAGTGTGTAATAAATCTGTGTTTCACCTTCAAGATAAAAAGGCTGATGAAAATGAACTATCAATTGGCTTAATTAAATCGGCTAAGCGTACAGGACAGCTGAGCTTATGCAACCGGGGTTTGGGCACTGGTAAGATTATTTAATTTAGAACTGTTGCAATTTACCTTGTGTTCACAATGGAATACTTTAAAAATAAATGGAGTACCGCGAAAATCTAATAATTTAATGTGTATTCATTCAGTACCTGAAAATGTTTGGAAAATTGATGAACTTGTTATGGACGATACTAGAGAGGTAGACTTTGCCAGATCAGATCAAGGTAATTGGTGGAACTGTGAACCTTTAAAAATGTTAGACCTCAGTTCCAATGTCGTTAACACTATATCTCCGAATGTCAAGCTGCTGCAAGAACTTGTTACACTCAAGGTGAATGCAGTCCATTTATTTTACACTAACTGTATAGAAAAATAAAATAAATCTACTAATAAAAAATATTTTTCTTACATTTCAGTTGCATGACAATGCATTGACATCTTTACCAGCAGAATTAGGGCAGTTAAAAAATTTATCAAATCTAAGCTTAGATCATAACAAAATAAAAGAGTTGCCAATAGAATTTTATAAACTAACAGAATTGCGATGGCTAAGCATATCTCATAATGAATTAAACATAATTCAAGCTGATTTTGGAGATTTGGTTATGCTCACATTTTTGGTAAGTTGTTGTTGAATTTCTTGTTGTATATTAACAAATTCAACAAGAAGTAATTAAGAACATATTATTGGAAGTGTATCCATGCTACCAAAATATGTTTTGGTGTACTATGTCTACAGAAAAGCATCATATTCTTTAATTACATATATTTACTTATTGATATTTTTTAAATCACATTAATAATATTACTATTCTTAAAGGACCTCTCCCACAATAAGTTACCATCTCTGCCACCTGGTATGGGATATCTGGTAAGGCTAGTGGAACTTAATTTGTCACACAATGAACTTATGGAACTACCACCAGATATTGTTAATTTGAGAGGTATTCTTTTTATAATAGTAGAATTTTTTATTTGATTGTAACAGTTCTAAAATTTTACTACTAAAGATTGATTGAGCTTGTGTCCTTAATCCTTATGTACTTATATTGAATAAGATTGCCACATGTCTATCTACATCAACCACTTTCTACATAAATATTAATTTCTTATAAAAAAATAATTATTTTTTATTTGTTATATTGAACATAGATAAATTTTAATAAGAAAATCGTTTTATTAGCCAATATTATAATTGAATAAGATTTGATGAAGAGCATTTCATAATCATAATATGTACATGTAAAAAATAAATATGTCCACAGATTTGAAAAAATTTAATATTAGCAATAATAATTTGAAGAAGCTACCAGCAATGGGTGAGTTAAGAAAAATGGAAATACTTGATGCAAATCATAATGACATTGAACAGTTGCCTGATTTCTATGGGTGCACAGCATTAAAGGAAATATATTTAGCAAACAATTTTATAAAGGTAATTCATAAGACTTGAAACAGTGTCAAATGTTTGAAAGGTATCACAATAAACATTTGCTTTTTATAAAAATCATCCAAGGTACTGTAACTGTCATAGATATTTTAAACAATTGTTGAAGGGGAAACAACGAATAAATTATTAATTCAAGGAAATTTAATGAAAGGAAAATCATTACTACTTTTAACAACTTTCAATTTCAAATTTGTAAAGCGTGAAATAATGTGTGAAATTAAACGGCGCGTATCTGCATTACAAAGAAATATTCATGACTTTGATGAGTTATTTATATCTCGTATATAGTGGTATTCATTGAATATAAAAACTGATAGGTTGTGTTCATAATAAAAAAAGTGTATTTTCTTTCAGAAATATATTAATTTTATTCTTCTTCCAGGAAATTACTGAAGAATTTTGCGACCAAATACAACATTTGAATGTGTTAAATATAAGGGATAACAAATTGGAAGCAATACCAGAAAACATATCATTGCTGAAGAAACTAAAGAGACTTGATTTGACAAATAATAATTTAAATAAGTATGTATAATTATAATCAATTGTTGTAAGTGTCTTTGCCTAACCTAACCCCCAAAATACATTGGCATACAGAAGGGTTCATAGAATGTATTTTTTTAGTAGAACCAATAACTTAAAAATCAATGAAAGCTGTAGAATATTTAGAAATATGGCGACGTTGTTCGTCTAAAGTCTAAACAATAAATCTAGTAGATCTTTGCGTATGCGCCTATCAAGTCTAGTAAAAAATATTTTTTATCCAATAGGTTACCGCGTAATCTAGGTTTGTTGTCCCAGTTACAAAGTATTAGTATGGAGGGCAACAAATTGTCATTCGTGCGTCAGGACGTGATTCGAGGGGGAACTGACCGCATGATGAAATACTTACGGGATCGCATCACAGAGGAAGTTGTTGGGGAGACCAGATACGAATCTGAGTGGCCAGATAAGTCAGTATATATAATTTTATTGTGTTTAATTTGAGAATTTATTGTTATATACCATATATATCGAAACAAAATATTTTAAAATGTAACGAAAAACTTGTGGTTCTTTACAGAAAAGTGTAACTACGACCAAATAATACAAAGACAAAATAAATATAGAATATAAAATTTTGTTTATTAATAATAATAGTATTTTTAAGTATAAATTGAGATTATTATTCCAGGCAAGTTATGAAAACAATCAGTCTAATTGCAGTCTTTTAATAAAAGTACTCGGCTGTCATGACTGTCTTTTCAACAGGTATATACACATTAATAGAAAGAGCCGGAAGAGTAGTTTTGTTAAATGAGTGAAATTAAATCGATATAGTTTTCCCAAATGATGTTTTGGCTTTCTCATAACACAATCTACACAAGAATCTCACACAAGAATTAAGATATATGAATTTTCGTCATAAAATTGGATTATTATATAAAAAATAATAATCCTAGGTACACGTTAAAAAAAAGTCAGTCTCTGACGGTGCCATCCCGTGATCTGACCTTAATACCCGACGAAGTGTTCCGAACTGCGGCAGAAGCTGAAGTTCATATCGTGGATATATCGAGGAACAAGTTGCAAGCTTTTCCTAAAGGGTATGTATGTAAAGAGACTTAAGAACTTAAGAGAATTAATATATTACTGTAATAAAAATATTACTGTTTATGGTTGTTAAAACTTCATTAATTGGTTTCAAAGGGACTGTACCAACTTACCTAAACATACGAAGGGTCAAATTTGGCCGCTTTTAGCCAAGTATGCATTCTTAATACTTAAATAAGTTAGTTTAAAACAAAACTCGATACTAATAATACGGCTGTAACTAAACCTATTGTATTTATAATATTATTACAAGAAATACGAATAATGTTCCACCGTTACCTTTCAACTGCTAAACCATGATTGACTTAGTATCCTATTACCCATAGATGGGACAGAGGGTATCCACAGTGAGTCTCCTTCGCGTTCGGTCTTGAACCTCGTATTTCACCTCGCTCCAGGTCTTTCCGGCTCTCTTTGCCTCATCTGCAACTGTACGAAACCAGGTTTACTTGAGACGGCCACGCTTTTGCTTTCCTTGAGGGTTCCAATCTAGCGCCTGCTTGGAGATATAATTTGAATCTCTTCGTAGTATGGCCTATCCATTTCCACTTGCGTCGCTTGATCTGATAATGGATAATGGATGAGAAGCCCCGCAGTGCTTCCAAAGTTGCTCGTTAGAGATCTTCTCGGGTCAGTAGATACCCCGAATACGTCGGAGACAGCGATGGAGAAAGACTTGGAGCCGGTGCAAGATGTCGTTAGTGACCTTCTACATTAGAGCAGCACAGATTTGACGATAGATTCGAATATTCTTTATTCGAATGAATAAACACATTTTTATTTTATATATATATGTTATATATTTGTTGTACCTGAAGCCAATTTAAAAACATATGACCTGTATAAGGCCTAGGCACATTCCTATTTCAGAGTAATCAAGAATAAGATAGTCAAATAAAAATATTTGTTACAGTATATCAATACTAAGCGACACGTTATCCCAGCTAATATTATCATCAAACAGTATTGAGAATGTTCCGTCTGAGATAAGCCGATGTTCCCATCTGCAGTTTCTTGATCTGGCCAAAAATTGTATTGCCGATCTCCCCATAGAATTTGGGGGATTGAAAAATTTGAGAGAACTCGTCATATCCAATAATAAGTAAGTTTTTCCTAAGTTTATTATGTAAAAAACTAAAATTTGCAAAATAAATTAGTTTAGTTATCATCTTAAAAAAAGCATGGCCATAGGTTCATTAAACTTATGACGCAAGCGACGTGATTTACAGTCGTAAATATCAGTCATAATTTTTATATTATTAATAATAACAAATTTGCATAGCGTTTTTGGCAATGTATAAAACCAATACATCAGGTTCACAAAAATCCCGCGATGTGTATACGAGCTGGACAATTTGGAGATCCTCTTGGCTGCAGAAAACCAGGTCACAGAGATCAACATATCCTCGGATGCTCTCGCAAAGCTTAAGAAGCTGGCTGTACTGGACCTCACCAATAACAGTATTATTAGCGTACCTCCGGAGCTTGGCAACTTTACACACCTCAGGTATGCTGCTTTAAGGAGGTTTTCTCGCTTCTGTATCTAATGTGTGTAATGAAAGGTTTTGCGCGCGACCACAAGAAGCGTTGTCTTTCATACAAATAGCCGACGCAATGTTTTATTCTTTAACTTAACTCGAGTTAAGTTAATGTATGTATGTTATGTATGTAAGTTGTTGTATATGTTTGAATTTTCCCATGCCCGTCTGGGAGATGGGTTTTTAATTTTCCAAGATGCACTAATCTGCACTAATTTTTATATAATTAAGTTTTTTAATTGTCGGGTACATCATACTAACAAACGCCCTTAACCAATAATATAAATCAAAAAAAGTTAATTTGAATTCACTGAATTTTTTATCAAAACTGCTTTCTGGGTTTTTCTTAGTCATTATGTTGTTGAGACTGTATTATGATAATATTATATTTCCAGGTCATTAGAACTGATGGGTAATTGCTTTAGACAACCTCGGCACGCAATACTTGCGAAGGGAACCGCTTCGGTTCTGTCATATCTCAGAGATCGGATACCTGTCTAGCTTTATTCCGCTTTCCGAAATCTTTCAATATCGCTTTAAATCGTACATCTGCTTGTGCCAAATTGGAACTATTAAAAGGTTTTTGGAAATGATTAAAGAGGCTTATTGCAGTGTTATTTTTACATTGGCTGCTATTTATTATTTGTTGTTTTTATACTTTTGTTATTTATACTGTTGTATGTATTAAAAATTGATTTTTTTCAAACCAAAGTAAATTAGTCAAAAGGCTCGTGTACCTGAATCCACCGAGTATATTTGTTATGTTTTAATTTTATTGGTTTTTTTAGGTTAAAAAATACTACAAATTGAGGCTTGAGTTAATCTTTAAAAAATCTATTTCTAAAAGCGTCGCGCGATATAAACTGTAAAAATCGTAAAAAAAAAGTTATTCATTACTTTATTTTGACAATGAAATTCGACATGAAAGCGAACCCTTGAGGTAAGGAAGACTAAAAAGAATCCACGCGGTAACATGATAGGGTTTAAAAAAAACAAATTCGATTTCTCGTGCAAATGTACGTTTCGACAGAAGGAAGTTCGATTTTTCTGTACAATTCTCAAATATTATCTATGTTTACTAATTTTTTTTTGTAAACTATCAACTTCTTTTCTTTAATGAAAAGATAGAAATGATACAAAATAATTATTTATTGTTTTTTAACATACTTAATTTTTTGTGCACAGTATTGGAAGAGTTGTTGAATAGTTGTCCATTATATCCTTGTTAACCCCAAATTCTTTATTATTTTAAATTCTTATAAGTTAAATATGTTTGCTTAATTAAATACCAAATACATAAGGTGTGTCACTTATATACAATTTATGATATATAATGTTCTAAACGTGGTTTTATTTAAATTCTTTTATAAATTAGAAAGATAGATCATATAAAATGTATTAATTTATGTAAAATACAAAATTTTCGTGTCAGTTTTGTAATATTTAATCGGCAAAGCATTCAAATTTATATAATTTTATCTAATATATTTTCATGTTAAGCATAGCACATTGTTGCAAAATTTCTAGCATTTTAAGTCACAAGCCAGCGTCAAAATATATGTTATTATACAAATTTAAATCGACTCTTAGCATCTGTTAAACCATTGAACTATGACAGTTTTGACAAACCTAGATTGAGATATAGTCCTGTTGCTGAATACCTTATCTTAAATTACCATAGGCTTGGTAACCATCTACATTAGTTTTTATGAGTGCTAGTAATAAAGATTATAATATAAGCTTATATGGAAATCTTACATGTACCTAAAACGCCTTATAACGTTCAAAATTATATAAAGAAAAAATATTGAGAGTATGTCAATCTTATGATATTTTTCTAACAATGTTTTTCATTACAATAAACATATAGAGAGATATTGTAGCTGGAAATGTTAAAATGAATATTCCTTGGATATTATAAAGTTGTACCTGAAGATGTTTAACGTTTTGCAAATTCACCATTATTTTACATATTCTCATAGCCTTGCATTGCCATTTTGTTTGAGAGTGTAAATTATAAGTTATTTTGTTTGTTATAAGCGCACAATAAATGAGTTTATAAAACAGTTGTTTATTAATAAATAGTTATCTCCCTTTTTGAAATATCATTTTATATCTAGAGCAAGTTTAGTCTCACTAATACGTAATCCTCGATATTGTTTTTTTTGCATTCCCACAATTCTTAACCTTAATTTTTTGGACTGGAATTATCAAATCTCCGACGTTGTCTTATAAGTTTTCGTTTGAATGACAATTAATATCAAATTAATATACCTACGATTGTAGGTGATATGGCATATAGTATACAAGTAGTTTGAGAGTGCCAGAAAAAATTTACGCCAAATATTTTCGCAAAATCTACACTACAATTTTTCTAACAAATATACTGTCTCAAAACAATTATTAGCGGAACAAGATTTTTCTCCTTTCTATTGCTTAAACTAAAATTAGATTTAAATTAACTTGTACGCTATTTTTTACCTTGTTAATTTGTTAATTACTACAATTAATAAAAAAATTCAATTTGTATTTTTTTATTAAAAAAAAATTAAAATGTGCATTGTAGACGAAAAACTAATTGGTGATAAAAAAGGTCCATCAAAGAAATATTCTTATATCGTTTGAATATTCGTCTTTAGTGACTTTCAGTAACGTGTGTGGCCTCCATGAGCCCTAATCACGACTTGACAACGACGCGGCATGCTTCGTATGATCCTCCGAATATCTTCTTGTGGAATTCGCTCCCATTCTTCAATCAACGCTTCAGTGAGCTGCTGCAGTGTTTGAGGTGCAATCGGACGCTTCCGGATGCGCCTGTCAAGCAAGTCCCAAATGTGTTCAATTGGATTTAGGTCAGGGCTCATGGAAGGCCACTCCATTACACGGATTTCCTGCTGTCGTAAGTAATCTGACGTGATGGCTGCAGTATGCGGCCTGGCATTATCTTGCATTAAAAGAAAATCTGGGCCCATACCATATGCTGCGGGCCAAACATGATCTTCGTTCTTCACATTTTCAATGTAAGTTTGAGCACACAAGCGCCCGGGAACAACGACGAGATCTGTGCGCTCGTCCAAACTAAGTCCGCCCCTAACCATCACAGAGCCACATCCAAATTTGTCATATTCCTGGACTGCTGCTGCACTGTATCGCTCGCCTGGGCGTCTGTAAACACGGAGACGACCATCGCAACGTGTTAGACGGAATCGTGATTCGTCAGTAAAAAGCACTGGCCTCCAATGTCGAAGTTGCCAATTAGCGTGATTTTGCGCGAACTGTCGGCGAGCTTGTCTATGTTGAATTGTTAGACGCACAGCCCGAACTGATCGGCGTGATCTCAAATTGGCTTCCAACAACCTATTTCTTACCGTCTGGTCGGAAATTTCTACACCAGTAGCCGTCCTTAGTGTATTTTGTAGATCTCTTGCAGTTGTGGTGCGGTTACGTAAAGCACAGTTGACGATGTAGCGATCTTGCAAACGTGTAGTTTTTCTCTTTCGACCTTGACCACGCCTTCGAGAGTATTCTCCCGTCTCACGGTATCGCTTCCAAAGTCTGTAGATAACAGAAGGGGCTACCTACTCCTAGATCATTTCCTACATAACGCATAGTTCGACCCTCTTCAAGCAAAGCGATAGCTCGGGAGACATGCAATTCAGTCAGATCTGGCATTATGACCTAAACTCACTCGCTTCAATGAATAACAATACTCAAAAGGCTCACTTCAATTTCTATTAATACTCAAAAGATTGAAAAAACTACTTAAAATGTGTTTTCTGTGATTAGAAAGTAATGAAAATTCAAAGACGTCACTTTGTTTTTCGTCTACAATGCACATTTTAATTTTTTTTTAATAAAAAAAAATACAAATTGATTTTTTTTATTAATTGTAGTAATTAACAAGGTAAAAAATAGCGTACAAGTTAATTTAAATCTAATTTTAGTTTAAGCAATAGAAATGAGAAAAATCTTGTTCCGCTAATTATTTTGAGCAGTATATAATGTCTTAACTTATACCTACTCTTAAACCGACACCCGCTGAAACAATATATATGCAATACTTTAGCCTCAAGATGTTCAAGAAATGGCTGCCTTTTTAATTCGAAATGTCGCGTCTACTCACGCCATCAGAGTATTCTTCGTCGATCATTTGCATAACAATGCTGAATGTAATTGAATTAGCATAACAAATTGCTTTTATAGGTCAAAGCATAAAAGGTTGCATGTCAACCGTGCAAAAACCACGGACTTTTAGAATATTTTTATATGAATTTTCAATTAGAGAACCATACATCTCATCTACGTTCATGATTTACTAAGGGGTCAGTTTCATGTCATCATGTTTCTTCGTAATTTTTATGAATATGGCCTTAATTAGTGACTTTTTAGGTTATATGTATTGGATCACCAACCATGAATTATTCGTAAACTCCCTCCTTTTTTATTACAACAGATATGAATATGAAATCTTACTGGCATGTATAATATATATATGAAGACAGGAAGTACGTAGGACCAACGTATTGCATCAGTATCACGCATGGCTAAAAACTCTTAACGACCAGCATATTACCAAGAGACGGATATCGTGTTCCTTATCAATTTATGCAAATTATCTGTGTGACAAAATTTACAAACATTTTATGATGGATGGTTTCGTAACACAAAAGTAAAATACTGGTTATCAGTTCAGTAATTACCAGTACTTCCAGACTCCGTAATTACAGTCGAGTATCCATAATTTTAAAACTTAGAACTTTAAAACACATAAACAAAGATATTTTAAAGGTATCGTCATATATCAAAAACATCAACGAGAAAGGATAAAATACAAAACAATATATAACACCAGTGATTTTTTTTGTAATGTTACTTTGTAGTCTGCTGAGTTTGTTTATCGTTATTTCAACTACCAGCAGATATTGTTACGCGATTTCTGAAAGCATTGTTTATTACTGGGTATTTAGACCGCCGTTACAAAATACGTAGTTTGGCGTCAAACGATCATATTATCATCGTTTTCACTATCGTTGACTCGTCATTCTATTGTAAATTGTCTGTAACACCATAATAACTGCAAGGTCGTGACGAGTAGTGGGGACCAGTACACAATTGCACTTGATTTCAGTAAATAGTACTCAACAAACGTCGGAAAAACTATGAATGTGAGGACGAATGTGTGTAACGTAAAAATTGGTAAACTTCTTTTAGTAAACGATTTTTCGGTGTGTTTAATCAGCTGGTCCTAAGACTGTTGAATAAAATGCCTTAAATATTCTGTCATTTCGTAGTTAAGTACTCTATGATGCACACGGATTGATCATTATCGTTTTTGTGTGTGTATTAGTTTTGATTGTGACGTTCAGTATGTATTGCATAATAAGCAAAGTAGTTTTTAGTATAGTGCTTTTCATTTTTGGAATTGAAGGAGGTAAGTATTATATTTTACTCTTTTAAATTATGTAACATGAATATGTTAAAAATTTGAATCAATGCCGTTGCATCTACACCTTAAAATTCTCATTTTTTGGTCCATCCATACGTTTGTTCTAAGTACGTAACCAGAAAGTATTTATTAATTTATGATTTTTTATGATAAGTAGATTATGATAAGTTTCTCCTGGATATCGGACCCAGGACCTCTAAGTTATATGCCGTTTGCACTAAGGTAGGAAAGCAATTAGATTCTCTTCACGGTGATACCAATGTTCACCTCTAATAGTACCATGGATAAGGGTTTAAGGTATAACTAACTAACACACGTGTAACTTTATATAAATCAAATATTGAGAGGCAGTCGTGTAACCAAAATAAAAATATATACCTATTTAAGTAATATAATATATAAAAATATATACCTACATAAGTAATATAATATATAAAATATATACCTGCATAAGGATTTCTATCGAAACTATTCCAAAATCTATTCTGTAGTGATATTAGGTCGTTAACTATGTAATTGGAGTTTATATAATAATAATAATAATTTTTATTAATCAGACAAATACAGTCCATCGATTGATTAGTGAGTTAGTAACAATAGTTTCTTAAGATCTATGTTAGAGAATTAGGTAATAAAAACTATCAGGTACAAAGCCCTGCGGAGATGTCGGAGCAGTGTCGTAAATAGGGGCACTCCATTCTTTCGACTATCATCCGTAAGATGTTGCTGGAGCTGTCCCGCACCCGGCGCACCAAAGAAGCGCACCGCTTTCGCATAGTGGCGAAAAAGCAATCCACCCGCGCCTCTGCAAACATTCTTGATGCACTGCAGCCGTTTATTAAATCTGTAAATAATGACCATTTACAGATTTAATAAACGGCTTCTCTTGAAAAATCTTACGTCTTAAAGTAACTCTTCATATGGATAATTAAATTGCTTATACCTTGGGAAAGAAGAAAGACGTAAAAAGAAAAAAGGATATGTATGTTTCTATACATAAATGTGTGTCAATGATAAAAGAGTGTCTCATTTCTTTTCCTCTACAACAATAACAAAATTAACACTGGACATTAAATTGATATCTAGCATGATATTAATTGTTTTTTAATTCATCAGGTGATAAAATGTCCAAATGCATTTAATTTCAATATCATCTTTAATACACTATCTCTCAGTAATAACGTTCATTGTTATAGATTTATGATCTAAGGGTCTGTTTCACAATGTACGGATAAGTTCCACATAAGTTCCAAATTAGCTATTTATTACGTATTCGTAGGATAAACACTATTGTTGCGTTTCACGACTGTTAGATAGCCCTATTCGTCACATAAAGTCCATCATAAGTTATGAGTCCGATGAAGTGTCAAATAGCACAATTTATCTTCCAAATAGCTATCTGGTACTTTATCCATACATTGTGAAATAGACCCTAAGTCTAACGAAGCGTCGAAAAGGGAAGGCAATCCAAAACATGAGTTTACTGTAATTTAATCGATTTAAGCTATCTTTATTCGTTCAAAAACCAATACAGGCCTTTCCTCAATTCAATTGACACTAATAAAAAATGTCTAAAATCACAGAAAAGTCCAGATCATATTGTTAAATATGTATTAGGCGGAACTTAGTTACTTTTTTGACTTTGTTATAAATATTGAAGAATTTTTCAAACTCTATAATTAAATAAGATTTACATTATTATAATAAACAGAAAGTACTTGCTTTAATTCCTTCTTTTAAAGTTATTTATTATGAGATGTTATTACAAAAATAATAGTCTTGTAATGAGTTATTAACTTTTATTGGTTGGTAAACATGTTATTTTGCCGCCATTTCGCACTGGTGTCGTGTTAATCGGACATTGATTTTTTCCGTCTGGATTTAAAACCCCAGTTCGGCTATTGGCCTGAACTCCTAAAAGAAGTAGAATGAACAGAAACACGGTCTCCAGTTGAAAGATCTTCATCTGAAAAGAAATATAATTTTATCACGTGTGTTTACTGTTTAATCTCGCATTGTTCAACATGGAACCTTCGCGTAAAAGCATTTTGTATATTTTTATAGTTATCATATTATCCTTGTTTTGACTTTTATGAGGCATATTTAAAACCTCACTTAATTTGTTACAAAATAGGTTAAATAAAGGTCTTATACCTTTTTTTTGAGACCCCTAACAATGAAGCAAATTTTTGAGTGTCATTGTATATGTTTTCCATAATTTTCTTGTAAAATTCTGACACATGCCGAAAATTGTTGGAATTATGATGGTTAAACATAGAGTTCAGAGTCGCATGCTTAAGCCACTAGGTAAACTGCTTTATGCTTGATAAATCTCTGCATTTTATCAGAAGGTATGTATTTGTTATCCTCGGTAAAAGGTAAAAATCAAGACTGATTAAAGAATTTTATTATAACATATTATCACAAAAATTAAAATATTTCAAATAACATTATACCACAATATGTATCGCTTCTAATAATAATCACTATAACAGTGACGGTGTTAGAAGATTTATTATGGTACTATACTTTTTATTTCTATATATCTGCAACAAGTGAGTATGTTTGTTCTAAGTAGTCACTTGTATTGTTGAGTAAGAAGGTTGTAAGTTATGCTAAATTCAATCAATAGTTCGTTTAAAAAATGACATCAGCAATTTGTATAAATAGTTTATTTATTAGTATCTTGAATAGTATCGAGATTATATTATCATTGTTGGTTGTTGTTATTTTAAATATTTCTTTTTAAGGATTCAATATAAATGTATATTTACCGAAGTCAATAACAATTTATTTCTAACTTACTTCTTTATGGATTCTTCTATTGGATATCGTACTTGCTATTTTTTAAATTTATCTCATCATGTGAAAAGATATTAAATGCCTTGGTAATAGGACAGTTAACTCTTTATATACTATATAGATAGAGATAGGAAGAAGTATATAGATAAAGACTATATAGATAGAGATAAGGATTAAATAGCTGTTTCTATAAATAAATAAATATTTACTTACGTTGAAAGTTTAAGCACACGTGTTACCGAGAGAAAAATTCTTTGTATACTGTCATATTAAACAAGACCAGTTTCGATTTACACAAAAAACACGACTCAAAACAGATGTTTTAGAGAAATATTCGAATTGATACAGATAATTAGATTGTTAATCGTATAAATTATGCAGTATATTTTGTATGACCTTCTAAGATTTAAGTATAATTATTTCTGAGATTAGACGAGATATTTATTTGATAGACAACGATTTATTCATTCGACTTATTTCGTCCGACATAACGGCTTTAGTACAGTAATTTTCTCAGCGAGCTTTATGCTCGTTGATGTTTAGTACTTAAATGTTGGAACACGTTAATTATGTCGTTTCACTAGAAGTTTTATACATATACATTATACGTATACATAGTTACATTACTTTTCAACATACCCTAATAATCCATAACATTTTATACGTTTTGATTCTACATTGAATCATAAATATACCTATATGTAGTATATTATAGGGGAAACTGTCGTTGAACTAAACCCATATAGATATGATGTTACATAGTATATTTTTTGTACATCTAAGCCATAATTTATCCAAATAAAGTGTATATTCAATAATGTAATTCTAATATCGTTTCTTAAAGTAAGCGCAGAATGTAACCAAGATGAGTCGGCTAGTTTTGTTCGGTGGCCCGGAATGACGCCAGATCGGGCTGTACCCGTTTTCATGTACGCTGCGAGTGGTGGCGAGGAGTCTCTAACGGGTTAGTATTGAAGTAGATTTGTTGCTGCCTCTGCAAAAATAAAGATACGAAACTAACTATCTTTTAACTTTCTTATGCCGAGAGGGTTGTCTAAAGACAGTCGCCTAAAAACGATGGTGTCTCTTTAAAAAAGATTTAGATTATTTTGGAAATTTAACTCAGAACCAACTTTACTGGCTTTATCACATAAACCTGCAGCCGTAAGAGTTAGAGTTCGTACATAAAGAGTTAGACGGGTAACTCTTTATGTACGATTCTGATTACTAAGCCTAGTTAAGATTTAAACTAGCACAATACAATCATTTGGAAGATGTTGCACCGTTCTCTATTAGAGATAGCATAACGACGAACAAATCTGAGTACGGCTGTACCAATCATTAATAATTACACAATATAATTATTTCCTATACTTATGGAGCGTGGCTTATCTTAATACTACATGCAAAAGTCACTTATGTTTTATTACAGGAGCCTGTCTCAGGCGCTGTCGGGAATTAGAAGACTGCGCCTCTGTCGTGGTCACATATGCCAAGGGCAACTGTCAGGGCCTTGCCTATTCAGCGGTGACTAACCTCCATGCAGACAATGATATCGCTTATTTTACTAAAGTTTGCCTAAAATGTTAGTATTCCAACATTTTTATAATATATGTATTGTTTTTAGCTCGTTCGACCTTATGGCGGCAGCCGTACTAATAATCATCCAAGTTTTATAATCAGTTTCTCTACATTTTAGCTTAGTAAAAAGTAGTAAATAAAGTTACCGTTTTAATTTATTTACGTCTTTTACGTGCAGTCTGGAGGAAAAGATTTAATTTGTTTTCCTTTTTTCAATTGGCAGTACCCCTAGGATGTGGAAAGAAATGGTGGTCTATGGAGAGCACCCCTGGCTATTCATTAAATTCTGAAGGAACAAATATCAAAGTGCTTCCAAACATTACCGTACATGATTGCTATAATGCTCTTTTCTCATCAAATGAAAGAAAGTATAGGTTCGTATATAAAGGTATTTTTATACTACAATAAACAAAATTGATTTTATTAGTGGACCCTTAAAACCCGTAGGTAGGGAGACCGGGTACAAAAGTAACACTTTGTACTTCACACTTGATTTGTGGCCAGGTTTTAATATTGTCATTAAATTAATATAACCATATATAAATTCAGTTTATGTTCTTTAGACTAGCAGCTCGATTTTATTACTATGGTGTGTTTTATATGAATAACAGAGAGTTAAAAAAAAATCATCAGTTGTTACTTTCGACCACGTAGGCAGGTCGAAAGTAACAAGACGAAGAGGTTGGTAATTAATACAATATTAGATGTTTAATCAACAATTATTTATTTAAAAAGTAAAAGTTCTGCATTCTGCATCCATCCACTAGCATTGCCAGCTCCGGCACAACCAACAGGACCCTCAAGAATCATGTGGTCTTGGAATTGTTTAAATGGGAATACGAAAAAGGAGGTATGAGTCCTCCTTGAGCATTAATGGCAACAGCAACAGTTCCTAATCTTCCACGTTCTGAGGTTACTGCACCTACTTGTTTAGTTCCTTTTTGAGCAACAATCTTGCTAGGTTTGTTTGTTACTTGTGTACCCATAGGACTATGTTACTTTTGTACCCTTCCTCTTTTTTGTTGAAATATGAAATATAACTTAAAAACGGAACGTGCTAAACAAAAACAAATTTAAACAATGTACAATCAATCTAATCAAAAATAGATATGCAAACATTCAGATTACTACCATCCTTTTACGACTATGTAAACATTAAATAACAAAATATCGAAAAACTTAGTTTTGGTTTGTAAAAACACGTAGTATCCTCTCACACAACCTAAGGCCCTTCTCCCATTACGATACGCCCGCGCGACTCTAGTCTCGGAGACTAGTCGCCGCGAAGTATCTCACATACATTTATATGGACACTCTCACATTACGATACTGGTATTCTACGCGTTCGCGACTAGTCTCGCGATACCCGCCGTGTTGGTCGCTTGTGCGTCGCGTCTCGCGCGTTTCGACAAGATGGCGGCGGAGCAAGAAACAAATATTAAGTTTGTACAAGAAATTGAAAAACATGCTTGTTTATATAACTACAAACTACCTGAATACATGCGAAAAAATATAATAGACAAGACTTGGGCAGAAATTGGGAACAAATTTCAAATAACAGGTTGGTTTTTTTTGTACACATACATAGTTTATTATTATCAATGTTACATTGTATTCTGCAAACAGGATTGGTATTGCCAAGGCAATGAACCTTGCTCAGATATAAAGTAGTTTGCTAAATAATTTCGTTGATTATGTGGTGACATATTTGCCGTTATTTCTATATTATGAGGTTGTATTGTCGTTGTAACGGGAATAGTGACCGATCTGTTTTGTATAAACTCCCTTGGACTATATAGAATACCCTCACGTTTTCGAACATAGTTGTGTAAAATACACACTGCTTTTATTATATTTGATACTTTTTCTATTGTATGACATCTTATAGCAGTACTTAATACTTGAAATTTTTCAGCCATCATCCCAAAAGCACATTCAATTGTATTCCTCCCTCGGCTTAGTCTGTAGTTAAATACCCTTCTCAAGTCATTCAAGGTTCTTTGGGGATATGGTCTCATCAAGTAAGATAGAAGGGGAAATGCCTCATCCCCAATAAAATAGTATGGAAATTCATAGTTAGATTGGTCATTAGGAAGTTTGGAAGGTAAAGGAATATTAAGACGTCCATGTTCTATCCAACGTTTGATCCTGGAAGCACTGAAAATTCCACCGTCGCTGTTCCTACCCGCATAGCCAGTCTCGATAACAGTAAATAATCCATCGGAATCACAACATGCCATTAATACTATCGAATGGTAGGATTTGTAATTAAAATTACTTGATCCTGAATCAGGTAATTTTTCTATTCTGATGTGTTTACCATCACATGCCCCTAAGCAGTTGGGTAAATTCCAGAGGCGATCAAAACGAGCAGCAATGTCTTTCCAAAGTTGCACATCTGGTAATGGCATATAGTCTCCATTTAATATCTCCCATATTATAACTGTCATTTCAGCTATGACCTTGCAAATTGTATTATCTCCTCTTGCAAAATACAATCCTAGGCTTACAAACGTACAACCTGACCCCAAATATCTGAAAAACAATTAATATTAAGGTTATTTTCAGGATCAGAAGCTAAAGAAAAGTGAAAAAATCTACGTAGTGTTTTTGTTCGCAACTTGAAACCGGCCAAAAGTGGAGCAGGTACTGCACAAAAAAAACCATACTACTTAGCAGACTATATGCAATTTACTGTACCCTTCATAAAAACAGCAGGAAAACCATCAGGAAATTTGAAAGAGACGATAGAACCACAGACACCTGATCTTGAACTATGTGAACAAACACAGTTCACAGAAAATGTACCTACAAGCACTCAACCAATCTCGCAACAGCAATTACCACCACCACCACCATCAACAAATAATAAAAAAAAACGGAAGAAGCTGGAAGAAACTCAAGCCGAGCAAGACATTTCAGATTATTTTAAATTTAAACAATCTAAAATTCTAGAAAACTGTGACAGTACTGAAAATTCAAACAAAATGTTCTTACTGAGTTTACTATCGGACGTGAACAAAATGACTGATAGTCAAAGAAGACTGTTTAAGAGAAGAGTGCTTGCATTGATAGACGATATTATAATGGACCAAAGTAGTGAAAATATGAATAGTCCCATCACACTTTATTCTACTCCTTCACCGATGAGTGCTGCCGAGGTAATAAGTACGCCAATTACCATAAACGAAAGTCTGAATGTAGTACAATCAAATACTGCCAGTCTTTATTATGAATCAATACCTATGTTATTATCACAGGAAGATGAAGAATAAGTAATAATTATAAAGTACTTACATATTAAAATTTAATAAACATTTAATTACCTACATATGTCACAATGAAGTATTATTTACCTTAGGGTTATCAGAATCCTTTCTTCCGCACTGACACATTCTCTAAATTTAGTATTTCGTTGATGTATAGCTGGTTTTAATAATGTAACAAGATGCAAGTAGGTCTCTTAAGACATTCGGTAGAAAGATAAAAATTTCTTATCATCATGTTGTAGTTCTTGTGCGGCTACAAAAACTCTACAATTTATGTTTCTTTCAATATATGGATGAATCGAATGTAGAAAATACTCTACTCTTGCGTTGACGTCTTCTATTTCTATAAAACAGAAAAACTGCAAGAGCTTCTTCGTCACTGGAGTCGCTCGACATAACGTCCGTCTACAAAAAACAAGTTTGCACAAATGATGAATTTAGTAATTTTTCAGTAGCATAATATGCGAGCGTCGCGTAGCGAACATGTATCCAACTAGTATTATACTCGAGTATCGTACCCTACAAGTATCGTAATGGGAGAAGGGCTTTACAGTGCTGGAGTACGCGGCGACTAACTACAAGTGCGGGGGGCACTCTCAGCTATCGCCTGACGGCGGCGAAGCTGTTTTCGCCCATTGGATGAATCTAGAGAGCATTTGTTACTTTCGACCCGCCGTTACTTTTGTACCCGGTCTCCCCATACCCTAAAATCTGTCACATTTTTGTAAAGTGTTTGTGGGTCATACGGGGGTTCAAAGAGACGACGTGACTAGACTAGAAATTTATGTTGGAAGTTCCAGAGACAATAAGCCTTTATCTCGAAGTTTTCTTCTGTAGAATCTTTGTAACTCTGATCTCTAAGCGTTTCATTTTTAAGTTTAAAAGTGTCAAATGTCGCAGGTCAGCGCAATGGATTGAGCCAAATAGTCCTTTAGACACGTTTGTTGTGTCAGTGACGGCGATAGGAGACTGCATCTTGAACGGAGAAAATAAATTTACTGAACCCGAATCATACCGGGTGTCAAATTACTATACATTTTATATAGAGAATGATTGTGAACATGATTGTAAGTATAATTTGATCCAGCCGTTGTATCAGTAAATAATTACCACGGTGGAAAAGTAGAACGACGGACACGAGATGGCTAATAAATTAGTAAAACTTTAATAACATTTCTTAGAAGTTGTTTCGCTGCTTTCCAAAAACTACTTTATCGTTTCACCATAATTTGACTTTACCAAATAGGTGAATAGGTGATTTATATTTGGGGAATGTAATAACTTTATTATACTGCTATAAGTAGACATTTTATTAAAAACGTTTATTTGCTACTTTTAGATCCAAAGAAAATCGACAGATGTTCCTATGAGGAGTATAATAACCAGACACTTAAGCGAGTTGATTTAAGCATTCACGATACGACAAAGGAAGAGGTAAAGTCATATTAAGATTTTTTTTTTCATGGCAGACATCACGAATGCAGATTTTATATATATATAATATCTTGAATTTTTACTTTAAGTAGAATGTAATAAACATTAGTTTATATTTATCTAGCAATGTACTCGAAGAATTTATTATAACCAAAAGAATAACTTATTAAGTATTACATATTTTAGAGTTCAATAAACCAGTTTTCGATCGTACAGGTTTTAAATATAGAAACCTTATACCGGAAAATATATTATGAAAATGCGATGAGAATCTGATTAGGTCCATTGCGTGCGTGCATTACCTGTATCTACTCATAATCAATACTTATATCTTTGTAACCTACTGGAATATCAATAAAATAGTTACTTTTATTCGCTTTTAAGACAAAACAATTTTTAAATCCTGAATTTTCAAAAAACGATTATATTATGTATTAATTTCACATTATGTTAAATTTTGTATAATTATAAAATTTCTAAGAAAGTTCTTTTAGCCCACTACAAAAAACCCGAAGAAGATTTAGAATTCGACGCGTGCAATCTTTTAGGGAATGCTTTTGTATGCATGCAAGTTGTATTAAACATATCAAACATTGAATCTTAGTAATTTATATTTTTTAGTGCAAATCAGCATGTGAGAACGAAGACCGTTTTATATGTCGTGGGTTCACATGGACGTCTAGACAGAGCCGCGGTCTCTGTGATCTGCACAGTGAGGATCTCATTTCCACAGGGTCTTGGCTCTCACGACGTGTATCAGAAGCTATTTACTATAGGCGGGTTATTTGTCTAAACAGTAAGTGTCTATTAAATTTCGTTTTAAACGGGTTTTTGTATGTAAATTGTACTAGTATTTCGTCATACTTTAATTTTAAGTTAGTAGAAAATGCTTCCGTATTTCACAATAGTATAAATATGTACATGCATTTTCTACTAAATTGCTGAAGCTTAAGACGTCTTAACTCGTTCTCTATTTTTCTAGTACAATTTACTATAGCAACCCAAAACGTATCACGAAGTTGGCAGTAATTCTTATTCCGCAATCCGCTAGCAAATATGACTCATGGCAAAAAAAGATCTCAATCTCGACTTATACTTTTATATTTTGTAACGCTATTGATATAAAATCAAAACGTTACAATTCTCTATTATGAATGAAAACTCGTATTCCTGTATAATTTTTTATGTATTACGAAAGTTAGTAAACTACGTTGGTTCAGATGAACCAATTTAATAATTTAAACTTATCATTTTCTATTATAAAAATACGAAAAAATATTTGTCATAGCAAAAAAATAAACAAAAATTACAGTATCTGTGGATTGTGAAGAATCTAATATGATTGTGACATACCGTCCACGTGGTAACTTCCGAGGGCGCATGTACGTACCTGGCCATGGTGAAAAGTGCAGTGCTCGAGCTTTTGCGGGTATTGTGAAGTTATCATTACCTTTCTATGGTGATTGTGATGTCAACTTTGCTTACGGCATTTCTAAAGGACCCAATGGAGTCGTAAATAGGTATTGATATTTGAATTTGTGATATGATTTTCTATACTCCACTATATATAAGGCAACTCACAACATCTATTCTCACTATAATGATTTGTATATATTTATGGTAACGAATAAAAATTCTTTTGTCTTCTTACGTGAAAGGAAAACGATAATAATTTTTATCATATTTAGGACAATGGCGTATGTTATGTTGATGATCCAGAACAATCCAATCATTCAGACTGCAGGTGATAGATGGGTGAGAGTTGGGTGCTCACCCGGGGCGGCGTCGCGTGGATATACCAAAGTTGATGCTACAGTGTCTGTACGAGATGCCAGGTATATTGTTGGGATTATCAGCCAGAGGGACCTAATTACTTACAATATCTGTAACTACAATAGTTGGGTTATTTAATAACCTATCGGACATATAATAATATTATGGACACAAAAACAAAACGTTACAAAGGAATGATACGATTCATATCCATAGCTTACGATTTTTAAATGAGAATGACGTTACCTTCCAAATTGAGACCTATTTATGCGACGCTCCTTAGCAAATCAAGGTTATAAGTATTGTGTGCATTCAAAATGTATTGCGACGCGTCAGTGTTAACATATTTAAGGTAGAGATTTCATATCTCTATTCTGTGCAAATTTTATGTAATTTATGGCAGTATTATTTTAAGAAATGAGATTTCAATTGAGGCGAGTAGCTTTTAACTATTGCTTATATTACTACTGTAACATTCTGTGAAGATATCACAGTAGGTGATCGTGTTTTTGTGAAAAAATATTTATATGCTTGCCGATTGTAATAAATAATTTAAATCGTATGATTCTTTTATAATGCATTTCTAGTATAGGGATAAATCACAATTTAGGAAAATAAAAATATGGCGAAATTGAATGAGCAAAATCCAAAATAATTACAGCAGGCCCTCACTAGTAAGCGAGACTAGTTCCGAAAGCGGCGCAAGCGCAGTGTACGGTCTAGGCGCGGCTCCGCTAAGTATGTACATAGTGCGAACTAGCGCCGACAGCGGACTTAGTGCTGTCTCTCTAGGAGAACCACTTGAATTAAGGATAGAAACCACAGGTACTAGACAGTATGATTACTTGTATATGTTTGTTGGTGTGTAGCCGCGTCGTAGTTTGTTTGACTGTTTCTTACTTTGCAGATGATACAGAGATAGAAGCCTATCACTTGGTTGCATCATCTAGACTTGGTGACAGTTCTGTTTTGCTACTTGATAGTAGAGGATGCCCTACTGGACAGGTATGAGAAAAAACAGGTATTTTTTATATTTAAAAATATAAACGGGTACAGCGGTACTACTCCTCTTTAAAAGTATACCATGTTATGGGAAATCCCCTATTTTACGTTTTACATTGTTTTCAGGTAGACTTTCCAGCGTTCACAAGAACGTTTGAAGGCAACACCCAGCGGCTGTCAGCGAAGTTCAAAGCATTTAGGTTTCCGAACTCACATGTCATCAGATTTTCTATCATGGTGCGGTTCTGTGAACTTAAATGCGCACGGGTCAGTATTTTATTTGTTACTACAAATCCGTAGAGTACAGTAAGTCTTTGATCTGTAAGATACTTTACATTGAAGAGTGTGTGAGTGTATAAAATGTGAGTTGTGCATGAAATCGCGTCTCTTATTTTTGTGGCGTTGTCGTACCTTTTATAATATTGTACTAGTTTGAATCAAATGCGTTTAAATTTTAAATTTACAAAATTAATTAAAACAAAATAGATAAAACATTATATTGTATTTTTTTAGTATGATTTTATTGAAAAAAAAAACGTGTTACATAGGTGTTTTGTATATACAAGCGTTTATGCTGACAGGTGAATTGTGGAAAGCTTCAGCAGTACCGGAGCTCCCGGCACATTAATAGCTCATATGAGTATGATCATAGCGAGGTTGCTGCTGCCATTACTCAAGAGGTATTACTTTCATAATAATTAAAGTAGTAGGTGGGTTTTCAATCTGTTATCAGGTCTCTTTAAATAACCAGTTTTAGTTCCAGAATAAAGTCAATGTTATAAACACAATAGAAAATCTTAAGTGAAAGTATAAAGAACATCATCAGAGACAGTTTACTTTTTGAGAGCCAATAAAAATAACTCCTCGCGATTTTTTTTTTGGATATGTCCTACGTGTAAAATATTTTTTTTTTACTTTAAGAAAGCTTGGGCGCCCAACGTAGTGGCACAGGGTGGTACAGTCATGTGTGCGGGCGGCGACGGGCGGATGCCTCTCGAGCTGGAAATGGTGGTGGGCTCTAAAAATATCTTGTCTACTGATACCCTTGTTAGAGCTGATCATCGATCTTCTTCACGTAAGTTTGTTATGTACCATTCCTTAAAATTATAGTTTCAATGAATAAATGTTAAAAACTTAAATAAGGGATATTTTTATTTGTAACTTTCTTCTTCCGCTTCAGCTGAAGAAAACCAAGTTAGTGACAGTGCAGTGGTATGCGTCCATGAACTACTGCTGGTCGCGTTGGGTTTGGCGTGGCTCGCTGTACAAGTCCTGCTTTTGCTGGGATGTTGCGTCCTTGTCAAGAGGTAATTAATTTAAACAACATTTTAACCCCTGACGCAAATAAAGGAACTCTAATTACAGATACACTTTTTCCTTCAGCAATTTATGGAATAAAATATGAGATTGAAATGTCGGAGATTAGTTTTTTTTAGTTTTATAAAAAGTTTTTTTAACGAACCTCTGTTTCTTTATTGGGGAAAATTGTATATTCGTTTTTCCAGAGTATAAGTTGCGAGAAAATAATCTGTGCATTCATACCTGTGCATAAGTGTACAGGCATTTTAGAGATTAAAGCAAATGCCTGTAACCCTACAATGAGTTTGGCAAAGTGTTAAACGCTGTTAAATGTCTGCCTTAGTATTTGTATGAAAAATCTTAAAGCCTGGTGCTGCCAGCGGTCATGAACATGATGGTTTCGCATAGATGATAGAACTAAGACTTTTTGTACAAACATTTTAGATTTAACCACTTCTTCTTCACACAACAAAATATAATAAGAACATTTATTATCCTTACAATAATCCTTAATGATTTGGCTTTTTCAGGTATAGAAATTTAGCAGAAATGAGTATGCAGAAAGACTACCACTCGTTTGACAATATTGGCTTCGAAACCTCATCCACGCATCGTAGAGTTCATTGGCCAGATCAACACATAGACGTCCTTCATACATAGTAAAAACCAAAGAGTACTAGTTATATTTTGTTTTTATGCGAATAAAGCTTTATTCTATGTGGGCCCGAGGGCGGTACTTGTAAGACAGCTTATGGCGCGATAACCACCGGGTGTTTCAAAATTTAAAAGATATTAAGGCATGAAACGAATAAAGTTAATATACTACTTTAAGGAAACATGTATACTTAATTATATATATATATTTAATAAAATGTATTATGTATTTAAATTATAATATATATATTTCGTTTAGAGAATAAGAATTTAATATGTAGACTAAATACTTGTTTGTTTTTTTCCATAATATAGTAGGTTTATTGAAAAACTAATTTACTTTTGATTAATTAAGCAGGTAGACTGATGTATTAATAGAATAAAAATTGTGCTGAAATGTCTTCTTTCTTGACCTATAACTAGTTATATTTAAAATTACTAAGTGAATATACTGTTTATTTCATTTGAAATTTTCATAAATCAACTAAACCGACATTGTTTTGCATTATATATTGGCAAACTGGGAATTGGTAAATCGGTAAAAGTAAAAGGTTACATATATCTATATTTTTTAATGCCAAATCACAATGTACAAAAATTTACTAAATACAATTTATTTACTTCGGTAAAAATCGGTCAATTCGTTTCGGAGGAGTCTGGTTACAAAAACTGTGACACGATAATTTTAAATGTAATATATATGTATTATAACGTTATTTGTATATTCGAAAGTTATTAAAATCGTAATCTCGTATAGGCTACATTCCTTAAGTATTTTACAGGTAAATTAGCTTGGAGAAATTTTTGCGTTTGTAGTAGTGTATGGTCAGCAAATAAAAAAAAAAACAACATTTTATTTTTAGTTTTTATTTTTTTAAAGGTAATATACGTTTGTGGCTGGAGCACACCAAATGCGTACACGTCTACGCATACGCACTACGTACTAATACGGACGTGAAAATGTGTATCCACTGCATTGTAATCTATGGAACTGTATGAGGCAGATAAGCCAGTTCCAAATATTACAAGCAGTGAATGCCGGTTTTCACTTCAGTGAAGACGTGTATGAATTAGGTGTTCTCCGGCCATAAATGTTTTATTCTAATAATTCATCAACCCCAGGCATATCACAATCATCCCCATCCTCGCTTTCATCAGATGAATTATTTAAATTAATTATGATTCGTTCTGATATTGTGTCTAAAGCTGCGTCTCTACCCTGATATTTGTTTTCCTCCTCAATAGCATGCAGACAAACTTTTCTCCATTCCTCTACAGTTATGGCGTTCATTTTTCTTCAGCTAATGACATTATAACCTTCATATTCATTGCGACATTCTTTTTTGCGACATATGTTTTCACTATCCCCCATATATTTTCTATAGGATTAAACTCCGGATGGTATGGTGGTAAACGCAGCACAGTATGACCGTGCTGTCGTAATATTTCGTCTATCTTGTACTCTACAAATCTCGCCTTGTTTTGCAGAATCAGTTCATATAATTGAGGCTTAAGCAACGTGGATGAATGCTCAATGTTTCGCAATGTCAGCCAGTCAATCATTTGCTGTTTTCTAGAATTACTATTCGGTGCAGGATTTTGTATTGAGTTATGATATGGTGCGTTGTCAACAACAACAACACTATTTGGTTGTAAGTTGGGTATTAATTGAGTTTGAATCCACCTTGAATAGTTGTCATAGTTCATATTGTCGTGGTAATCTCCACTTTTTTGGTTGGCTTTAAACATAAGCAATGCATTTGGTATAAAGCCATCCATACCACCGGCATGAACAATGATTAAGCGGTTGCCTTTCGATATATGTTGCTTCAAACCTGAAGTGCTTCCATCTGACCAAGATTTCGAGAGGGTATGTGATGTATGTATATATGTTTCGTCGGTGTAAACAATTGGTCGGCGTTGTTCACGATATTCAGCAATTTTCATCAAATAATTAATTCGCAAGTATCTAATTTCGTGTTTTTCCATAAGAAGTTTCCGGTTATCTTCTGTTTGCTTCCAATTAAAACCTAATGACATGACGTGTTTTCGTAACGTGCTGACACAACCTTTATAATCGATATCTTCTTTTAATTTTGCGTGCAAAGTTTTCAAAGTGGGAATTTCTTTATTTGTGATGTGGAAGTCATGAATTGTTCTTCTGATAACTTGCTGATCAAAGTTATCGATTACTATTGTAGGTTTACGATTCGGTTTCTTTTTAGGAGATTTAAATGTTACTTCCTGATCTGAAGGTCGACATTTGCTTTCTGATACTACCTTTCTGACGGATGCTATTGAAATTCCCGTTGATTTAGCAACTAATTGAGTGGGAGTCATAATACTGCTCGGGTTGTTATTACACTCATTTTCGAAATATTTGTACAAACAGTACAAAACTTCTTTAGTTTGAGAAGTCAAAGGCTTGCCTCGACCATGTTTTAACACTGGAGCCATTTTTAATTAACAATATAAAGTTGCAACACTTACACACAAATTAAACACTTCAACAAATATTATAACAATAATAACAAACAATAACAACAATCAACAAATACAAAATTTAACAATTAACGTAATAATTATAATTTTTGAATGAAATGTGTGCTTTATGTTCTAACAGTACCAAGCGACTGACGCCGGACTGCACGTGGCACCTGCGGACAGCGTAAACTGGTTTATTCTGGTTTTGTGCGTGTTTCCACTTTCCACTATCAAGTGACGATTTTTTGCTTTAGATTGAAATATCTCGGAAACGGTGCGTCCTAGGCCAAAAATAAATTTTGACCCCCCGTAGACCCCCCGGAGTTTTAAAAACCTAGATGAAAGGAAAAAAAATATATATCGGTCTCTCCTCTTTGAAGTTTCACTTCTATCGTGTGTGAATCGCGCACACACCTTTTTTTTATAAAGTCAAAACCTTTTTTTTTAAATAAAAACTTGTTTTTATTGATAACAAAAATCAGAGTGTTGCTAGGGATAAGTATAATATTAAATAGTAATGTTAGGATATCGAAACATTTTTGTATAGGCCAGAACGATATAGTGGAAACGCGCTCTAAGATCTGAGTAATATACACACCACTACATATGCAAAAATTTCTCGAGACTAATTTCACTGTACTCTGTGGTATTTTCGGCCGGAGCGTATAGCACGGGTGGAGCGGGAGCGGGCGAGGGCGCGATAGGGGGTTGTCGAGCTCCACCGCGAGCAGATTGTCTTACGCTTTGTCTATTCGATGCTGCGTTGTAGTGGTAACCTTCAAACTTGTCACCACCTGTCCCAGTTCCAGTCTGAGTGGGATATGTAGCCGTACCCATGTACATTACCTGCAATTAATTATGAAATTGGTTCTTCTCCCTATGAAAATTGTTTCGTACATTAAAATAGTTTGTATTAATTGTATGAATAGATAGTATTTAAAAAAAACATAGAAATCAAATATTTAGCGCCTGACACTTTTTATGTGCTCAAATTATGAAGTTCCTTCACCCTCGATTATGATTTACCATCAACTTTAACTATAAATTTTTTTAATAAATATATTAATTCTAGTTAATTTTGGAATTTAATAATATATAATTATTATGATGATGACTTTGCAATTGACCTTTTTGCCTATATGACATAAAATTTTATAAAGTTAAAAATATGATATACTTGTGGCTTATATCCATCTGGGCCAGCTTCGTACTCCACTAGTTGAGTTCTACCATCGGGTAAGAGCACGTGGTAAGATCCAGACGCCCGATCATCTTTTCGTTTCTCCGAGTGTCCGAAGTCTAAAGAGACGGCATTGTCTTGCACGTCATAAGTAAACTCATAATTTATTGGCAGCTAAAAATGCACAAAATAATTATTTTTAACTTTTTTTGCTAGTCAATATAACATAGAATGCGCGCTAACCCATTTTAATAACATTTATAATGTATATGTTTACCGTTTACGGCTAAATTTAAAAAAAATTGGTTAACGCTCATTCTTTTTCAATAATTAATTTTTATATTATAAACAATATGAATGTTTAGTTACTGTTGGTTCTGAAATTGGTTTTTTGCCCCCTCCATTTGGTTTGGGTGGTAAGTACTCTTGTGCCGATGTTAAATAGCATACGAGCCAGGTTAAAATAATCTGAAAAGAAAAAAAATACATGTAAGTTTGTAGTGTTATAACTATTTCGCAAAACAGTAAATTTAAGTTTTAAATTATAATTTTATATTTTTATATTATACGTTTTTTTACTATAAATTTACCGAAGAACTTACGTAACGAATCTTCCACATTTTAGAAAAAACTTTATTCACTTGCTGCTGCAAGGTTCACCGGATTTATGGAATATTCAAATAATACTCGCGCTATTTAAATGAAGGGTTTTACAATGCTGCGGTCTAAAAGCGTCACACTGTTATTTTTTCATTAATGTTTCTCACGATTCCTTCAAATTTCGAAATAATATCTACGGCTGCAACGAGTCAACAAAGCTAAAGCATTCAGGTGCGATTAAAATTTTGAAAAGGAAGAACAGAAAGGGGGTTATGGGAACAATTGTCATGGACAAAGAATTTCATGTCCGTTGCTTCACGACGGTCTTAACCGATGGGTTTAAATGTCAGATCCTTACGTAAATAACCGTTTTTTATGGAAAATAAAACGTAAGTGTATTTAAATAATCAAAGTATCCACATATCTCTGTATTAATTTTTCTAATCTAACCTAACCTAACATTATTATGTAGGTGTATATATAATAGCATAGCCAGAGTACTATGCTGCCTACATATTATACTATTCTGTGAATTTTACAATCCCTTTGAACAGAAATATTGGATAAAATACTAATGCTATTAACAAGCGAGTAACGATGTTGTGAGTGTGTTGGAAAAGGGTAATTAAACGAAGTTTGATTCTCTTTGGTATTACTGATAACTGAATTAATTTCCGTTTCTCTCACCTGGATGTCCCTTTCCTGACGTGAGGACGTCAGGAAAAGGGTTCCTTATATCATTCAATATAACTCTTCATATCATTCTGGATATTTTAATTAGTACTATTACTATATTTGCGTTGCTATTGGCGTTATTTTCTTATCCTTTGGATCTAATATTTGTATACAGGCAGTCCTCGTACTACGGCATGGTAGGTTCTCGAAATACGCGACGTAAATCGAAACGACGTAGGTAAGTCGAGCCATATTTTTCATATGTTTACATGTAAAACTCAAGGGTTAGAAGATCCACACGGTCTCGAAATTAAACAAAAACTGCATTTATAATAAAGTATGTATATCTTTTGTAATTATTATATATGCACTTATGAAATTGCTAGTTATTTTTGGTATTTGTGTGTTAATTATTTTAATAATAATTATAAAACTTTAATATGTAATCGAAATATGTAATGAGAAATAATAAATTAAACTTTTGGCTTAAAGAAACTATGAATTTTAGATTGCTTCGCTTCTTTCTACATACAGATCTTCATAACACCGATAGGCTGCACACATTTTGTTATTAACGTTGAAACTTCTCTCAAAATAAGGATCATTTTCTTCAAAAATTTTCATGGCTTTCTCCAAAATTGCACAAGACAAGTGCCTCCTATGCCGGAAATCGAAACAAATGACTTATGCTCGAGGAATAGTGTCAAAACATTGTTCGACGTAAATCGAAACGACATAAGTCGAGGACTGCCTGTATTATGTATTTTTCGTTAGGTATTTGTGCACGCAAGAATGCTTACGGGACGTAGGCGATATCTTCTTTTATTAGAAAACTATAAAAAAGAAATACAGCATAACTTATGCCGGCCATACACGCTACGGTCTACCGGAGAGGTAATCTGTGCAGGTATGCCTGCGCAGGTCAACCGAACAAAGGTAGCGTGTATGGGGACGTTCCGGTATATCGGACTCGGAGCGGTCTTCAGTTCTCTTTGCGATGGCATCGAATGTGGACGATGACACGCTGGCGTTGCTAGGTCTTGTTTTAATTTTGAAGAAAAATGATACGAAAAACAAGCGAAGAAAGTGGTGTAAGCATTGGTTATTGAAAAGGAAAACATATAGTCATGTTAATTTATTAAATGAATTGAAATTTGAACCAGAAGATTTTAAAACTATCTTCGAATGGACGAAAAAACATACATTAAATTACTTGAAATGGTTACTGCTATAATAAAAAAAGAAGACACAGTTAAATAACAAATCAAACTTAAAACATAAGTAATAAATGTAGATACATTGCCGATTAGTGCTTAATATCTTAACAACCTGCGCAGGCGACCGGAGTACACGCACACACGCACAGGTACACCGTACGGTGTCACTAGAAAGAATCGATTTTCGATCTTACGCCGGTCGCCTGTGCAGGTTCAAAAAACCTGCACAGGTCTATTCCCACACACATTCCGGTCTACCTGCGCAGGAATACCTGCACAGGTGGACCTCTCCGGTAGACCGTAGCGTGTATGGCCGGCATTAGAGTTTCAAACACTGTATAGATACCGGCAAACATCGTGAGCATTAAACAAGGGAGTGGGGGAAAGTTTGCACAGCGCGCGACACAAACGTCAACTGATTCACCAATCACGTGAGCCGCGCACTTTTTCTTGCCGTTATTTTAATGGCTACTGTTAACTCCCAATGGCTACTTTTCAATATAACACTAACGCATTAACCAATTGACAAGCGAAAAATATTTGAAGCATTAATTATTATTATAATATATATTTCTTGTTTTCTCAGGCTTTCTATTTCTCATTTTGTCTACCGAAGTCGGATTAAAGGCCCATTTGTTGTGGAGATGATATTAATTTATCCCTAATGGGAAAGGCAAAGGACTTTAGTGCATACAGCCAGAAGATTTTTCATGGTTCCAACTTGACAATTCGACCAAACTCTACAATCATTTCGAATCAGTGTCAAGACTCGAGATCATGAGATGACAGTGACACTGGTCACTGACTGTAAAAACTAAAAACATGCCGTACTTACTACTTACACTTAGTACTAAGTCAAGACTCAAGATAGCGGTTTCTGGTTTACAAATTTTAAAACCATATTTTGATTAGATAATTTTGTGATAATAATTCATTACTTGAATTAATGTAAGAAATCATAAAATGAACTCAGTATTACGGAATTGTGTAAGACCCTCATGTCGCGCTTTTTCAATAACACCAGCAAAACACTGTGCTGTTCCTCCTAAACGAGCCCCGAAAAAATATTTTGGGCCAGTAACATGGAAATCAATGGGAGTAACTGCACTTGTTGCGGGAGGATTAACTAGTTTCATGCTTTATGTTAGAAAAGAAAAACAAGAAGCCTTAGATCGTGAAAGAAAACGGCAGCTAGGCAAAGCCAAAATAGGCGGTTCCTTCGAACTGGTCGATTCCGAGGTAAGCATACTTAATTACGGTTAAGGAAAACGTGAGAACTATTATATTTCAATATACTTTCATAGTTATGACCTATTGCATAATATTTGCATCAAGAAACTATGTTCAACTTTCAGGGTAAAACAGTAAAAAGCACAGACTTATTAGGGAAATGGTTATTGATATATTTTGGATTTACACACTGTCCTGATATTTGCCCAGACGAGTTAGAAAAGCTTGCAGAAGTTGTTGATAGACATGGTATGTATTTTATGATAAGTTATTATAGTATTATAACTATTAGTAAAATAGATGCTGAACTTGACATAAGCACTTACAGGAAAAAAATAATTTGAATGTTGCAGATAAAACGCCATCATCTCCACCTCTACAACCCTTGTTCATTTCTGTTGATCCTCAGAGGGACACCCCAGAGATTGTTGGAAAGTAAGCTACTTCCTATTTAGTACTCTACTTAAGAAAATAACAATGTATAGTTCTTGGCAAGACCTTGTATTGCAGTGAACCATTACACACACAAAATAAAGATTTTATTTTCAGATATTGCAAGGAGTTTACACCACGTCTACTTGGTTTAACAGGCACAAAGGACCAAGTACAACAGGCCTGCCGGTCTTACAGAGTCTATTTCAGTGCAGGACCACAAGATGATGATAATGATTATATTGTAAGTCATAAATCATAGGAATCATGTGTAAATAATGTATTAGATTTGAAATTCAAATTACTGTATCATTCAAACACTGATGATAATTTACAGTTAAGAAGTATATCTTTTGTGCTGTATTTCACTGAAAACCGAATCCATACTATCCAGGGAGATAGTAATTTTGAACACTAAAAATATTCGTTCTTAATTACAACATTTTGTTTCATTATTACTAGTGAATTTCAGGAACCAATCAATTTATAAGTTGACTAAATTTATATAATTTTTTTTTCAGGTTGACCACACCATTATAATATACCTAGTAGATCCTAATGGTGAATTTGTTGATTATTATGGCCAAAACAGAAATGCAAAAGAAATTCATGACTCTATGTTGGTAAATATTCAGAAGTATGAAGCAGCAAAGAATTCCTGGTTTTGAAGCACAAAGATTTATTTGCATTTAAGTGTGTTAAAATAGAAATAGGTACATATTTTTAACATTAAATTATTCAAAAAATAAGTGTTTATTTATAACAATTTATTTGTAAGCAATATGATACACAATATTAATTTTTTAAGTAAAATATTTTCAACAACAATAAATATTGATACAGAATAAAATAATATCTTATACAAAAAAATTGATTTGGTATATTTTTCTTGCACTAAGTCTGGATCAATGTGATACAGTTTATCAGTTGTCCATCTAGAAGTTGAGGCGCATACTCTTCTTTTATAACAATTAATTCAGTTTTCCCATTACTGTCCTCTTGTAGAACAAGTTCTTCTGACACTTCCAAAGGTACCTCTGTTATTTGCAAGTTCATGTCTTCACTTATATCTACAGCCGTTTCTAACATTTTTGCTTTCACAGATTTCCTAACCTTTTCATTGTTTTTGCTGTCATGTTTTTTTAGATGATTTGTCAATGATACTTTCTTTTTAAACAGAGATCCACAAATATTGCATACAAAGGGTTTTTCATCTAAAAAATTAAATTAAGTAAGTGATAGTTTTTCATGCCACCATCATAAAAAACATTAAATGAAGGGAAATGTAAATTTAAAAATATAATTAATGCTTTGTTTAGGCTAAGATAAGTTCCAGGATTAAAAATAATAGCAGAAGTCATAATTCCTAAACCAGGGAAACCACCACATGAAACAATCACCTATCTCCCTAATTCCTTTGTGTCCATGTTATTCAAAAGATTATTAATAATTAAACTAAGCCAATGTTAAAAGATAAAAAAAACCTTATACCCAATTTGGATTAAGAGAAAAGTATAGTTAGAAAATAAAAACTTTTCTCTAAGTAAATGATAACGTAAATTAAGTAGGAATAAACCTTGTAATTAAATTCGAATTATATATCTGATACATTTGCTCTGTTGAAACTGTATACCTGTATGTATCTTGGAGTGGTCCTTTAAACGTGAAGCACTAAGGAATCGTTTAGGGCATGCTGGACACGCGTGGGATCGCTCTCCCGTGTGCAAGCGCATGTGGTTTGATAAAGATTGACGTAGAAACCTGTAACAATATGTAAAAAATCTAATTTCAACACTTAACATAAAACACGATAACAAATCTAAAGTCATAGTGCAACGGTCTTGTAACACTGATCTTTTCAGGCTAATTTCTAATAGAGAGCTAATCGTTACACAGAAGTGCAAAAATTAAACCGAAGTAAACGTAATATAATAATTAAATATTCGCAGAAATATGTCTGCTCCATATCCCAAAGGAGAAAGAAAATACTTACTTCTTCCCACAAACAGTGCACGCGAAATGTTTCTCCTTCGAGTGACTGCTCATGTGCGAGCTTAGAGATGATGTTGATTTGAAATGTCGTGGGCACATCTCGCAGGAGTACGGTTTTTCACCTGATAATAAATAATTATAGAATTCATAAATATCATCAACGGGCTACGAATGTAAATTCGTTTTGTTTAGGATAGGTTGAAATCACATCTAGTGCTATCAGACATGTGACACGAGTGATAAGGAAAAATAATTCGCTAGCTTTTTATTAATAAACGGCTAGAAAAAAAGACTTTTCTATTATCATTATTATTCCAGAACATAAAACACAATAAAGTTAGAGCAGACTATCTTGAATAAGATGAATACTGTCAATCAAGATAGCTGAGAATTTAAAAATGAAATTAAGTATTTGGTTACATTATTCAAACGAAGTATCATAATTTTGCATTTATTTACTTAACTGAAGGAATAATAAAAAATATACCAGTATGTGACCGCATGTGTACAGTGAAATTAGAGTTCTGACGAAATGTTTTCCCACACACGGAACAAACGTACGGCTTTTCCCCTGTGTGCGTGAGTACGTGAGATTTACGGGTCGACTCGTGACGGAATCTGAAATATTTACCAAAAATATACCTTGGAGCCAAAAATCTACATGTGTATTTAGTTTAATTGATAAATCTTCGATTTTGTTGAAGTGGATTAATAAAATTATTAAACCAACATAACGCCAAGTATTATTGTTATAAACTGACAATGGTCGTAAAATAAGGTATAATTATTTAATGCCATAAAGTATTTACCTTTTATCGCATACCGGACACGCGTATGGTTTGTGATCGGAGTGAGTTAGTTTATGGGAGTTGAGTAGACGCATTGAGGGAAAACTTTTGCCACAGACATCACACGTACATGGCCGCAAGCCTGTATGTCGCATCATGTGCGCTTTCAGGAGGTAGTTATTTGAATACCTTAAAATAAATTATTATCTTTTTTAACAGTGTTTGCCCAAACGGGTTGAGCGTGGGACTAAACCCAGAAGTGCACGTACGAATCACGGCTGTGTACCATTACACTTTCCATTATATGTGCGCAATTAACAATCGTTTGGACTTCGTGAGGAAAACGGAATGCCTTAGAACCAAAAATCGATGTCGAGCATTAATGAGAGGACTGATCACCTACTTGCCCACTAAAAAAATTATCAAGAGATTATTTAATGACACTAAGATACGGGTATAAATCCCATGTCAAATCCAATACGTTTTGCTTACGTCTCGTTTTGACATACGAGAGTGACACTTAGCGCTAAGTCTCGACTCTAAATCTTAACCTAAATGCTAAGAACTTAATTATTAGTTAAATATACTTATGGTAAGTAAGGTCACAGAGTGAAATTTTGCTTATGTCGGACTGACATCTAGATAGACAAAAAAATATATTCTGTAAGACATTAAAATACCTTTTATCACACAAGTTGCACTCATATGGTGTTTCTCTTAATTCGCCGGTGTGCACGCGTTCGTGTCTCCGTAATGCACAGAGCTCCGCAAACTGTTTTTCACACCATTCACACGCAAACTGTTTCGTCTTATAGTGACGACGTATATGACGACGAAAACTTACGCGATCTGAAATAAAATATTAATTGAAGTTCTTCACTTTAGAAATGCTTAAATTTTTTTTTGTAACTGCGGTTTGTTACAAGTAGCTTTCTCAAATTGTTATTATACATATATTTTATGTCCGGTATCGTCGAATGACGTAAAACTGATGAACACAAGGCCTTTTCAAATTATCATTATCATAGCAATCATATTTAAAATATAGTCATAGTAAATTATTATCTTGGAACGGAATTTCTAAGTTATAGACTAAATACCTAAAATAAATAAACTAAGGCACTTCTAAATCATATCATTGGAATTGAGAGGAATTACAAGTGAACGTACGTTCTTTTTTTACATAGTTAATTTTAAAAAAATATTGGATAACTCAAACAATGTTATTGTTTAAAAATCTTTTTCACTCACTTCAACGCATGCGTGTCGCAATGTTCTTGATCTATGTGTAAAAAAATATATATTCTAGTTTTACAGAAAAGAAAGTACAAAGTATGATGAATTTCAATTTTTTCACAAATGATATGTGACGACGGACTACAATACCAAATACAATAGCAACTTACCAAAAAATTCTTTTGAGCATGCATAGCATCTCCATTTATCATTGGCTGTGATATGCAGAGCAGAATGAACTCTCAAATCATGCTCAGAGGAAAACTTTTCGTTGCATTGTTTGCAACCTATTAAATTTCTGTCTTCTGAACTGTGTATTTTCATATGTGATTTTAAATTAATCGCGCTGATAAATTTCTGAAAAAAAATATTAATTACAAGGTTTTGATAAAAAAAATAGTACTGATAATGTGATCAGACTCTACTCTAGATTGTGCTTAGCACAAAAGGACTAGAAGACATATAAATTTTTATATATTTAATTCTTAAGACGGAAAACGAAGAAGAGGTCGACCACGCAAGAGATGGGAGGACGAACTGAAACTAACAGCAGGCTACAACTGGAGAAGAGTCGCAAAAGATAGAGAACAGTGGAAAGGGTTAGAGGAGGCCTTTGCCAAGAGGCACACCGAACTCCGAGATATACTGGAGTGAAAATATATTAAAGTTCAGACATATAAAATTACAGAGTTTCGGAATTTAAAGCTCTATTATTATTATTATTATTATTAATTCTTAAGGTTACTGTTTTTTACTGGTTTCAAAAGCTCGTAAATTAAAAAGTGCAATACCTTGTCACAAACTTTACAAGAATGAAACTTTTTTGAAACTCTGTCCTGAATATGTTGCTTTTTCGTCTTCACTGAAATTATATTAACACAAAATTAATTTATACTTGTACAATACAAGATTCAATCTTAATAGAGGCACTTACCTGTTTTTTGGATTTTTGATCTGGAAAAAGAAATAATACAATTAAATAAATGTTTTTGATTGTTGTTAAATCTATTGGCCCACCAATTAATAAGTTCAAAATAAAATCTAACAAAATCTTAAAACAAAATGAATTAGTTACATACCTATTTTTGACAACACTTTTGGGACATTTCTCATCTTCAAAAACATTATCATCTAAGAACTCTATGCCTGTAACAGTAAATTTCAAATACTTACCAATTCCAATAACAAATATGAGTGTTTTATTGCTAAACATTTATTATTATAAATTATGTTGATTTACTGCTCATGTTTTATTAAAATTAACTTGGAAACATACTGTACACGTATAATGTATTTTTTAAACAAGTACACACATCTGGAATACACTACACATTTTTATTTAATTATTTGATTAAAATTCGAATACTGTCATGATTATTTGGATACTTTGTATCAAGCATAATCACAAGATGAAGTTGAAACAAAAAATTGCAATAGTGTTGTTGTAAAAATAACAAAATAGGTAATCTACTAACTTTTAACTATTTTCTATGATACCATACCATATAATACTTCAGCATTCATATTTAATATATTATGCACTTTTAGTCCATTATTTTCCATAAGTATTGTTTTTGAATCAATCTCCTTTTTCTCTTCTAATACACTAAAACAATGTATAGTTATTTCAAATGATTCATATGGTAAAATGCTCAAATTTAAGGAACATTCTAATCTTGCAATTCATAGTTGAAAAGAAATCAATTTTACCTGTTATTCTCGACTTCAACCGCATTTGTCTCTTTATTAGTTATGTCTCCAAGCAGGATTAAAGACTTCTGACATTTCATCTTAAACTTATAACAAAAAATAATGTTGTTACAACATTCAGTGCAGACATTAAACAAAATTGCTTCTTCGACTGGTATCTGAAATTTATAAATCAACTATAGTATATCTGATTTATTTATGTAAGATACATTCAGAATTAGTCACTACAACACAAATAAATTAACCAACATAAACAGAATAATTCAATGTGTGAACCCTACATGATGTTAGGAGAAGCCCTTTGAAAAATACACACAGGTTGTCTTAGGGAGGATCTTATAAAACAAAGCAGGTGAGACCAATATATCATATGATCGCATAGGAATAGAGATATAGGAAATGTTAAACATACATCGACAGAGGCTATAGATGTCAGCATATCACCAAGGTTTATCTCGTCTTCATATGAATTAAGGCTGAAAAACTTTTCATCATAGCCTGCACAAATACGGCAAGTCACATAATTTTTCATAAAAGATTCGCATTTTTTTATCGATGCGTCTTCAATAATCTGTCTAGTTGGTTTCATGTTTAGATTTACAATAATAATATCAAAGATGAAATTTTTACTACAAATGAACGTTATACTTTATTCATTATTTAATTTCTAAACAAATAAATTAAAAACATTGTTTGATTACATTTAAGTAACATAATTTATATCTTTTCTATATTATTTTTTGTTCGCAGTTTTTCTCGTTTGTTTGGCAATTTTTTTTGACGTAGTCAACTGTCAGCATTAACTGTCACTGTCAGCCACATAGGTCATAGTCTCAACCCTTATTTTTTTTAATTTTATGACCTGGTAACATAGACCTTTAAGTCATAACTTATTTGACTCATAACTGATTTTTAATTCCGAATTTAGAATTCTGCAGCATGTCAGTGATAACAAACGTTTTTGGCCGGGCACATTTTTCAATTTCAATACGAGTCTGAACATCTGTGTCTATACATACATTTTATTGTTAGTTAATGTATCCTTTTTATTAAGTGCGGTGCTCCACATTAAAAGTGGTTTAACGGCGAGTGGTAATTACGTTACTTTTCATCACAAACAGTAAAAAACGCAAAAGTAATGATAACATTTTATTTTTTTAAAAAGGTTTACTAAACCTGGAATTAGTAGGCAGTGATGCCAGCTAAAGAATACAATAAAGTAATTTTCCCGTATCACCTCGACGTCCGCCGTTCCACAACTGAGCGTTTTTCCAGGCAGTTTTTGCCGCGCACCACCACTATGTGGAACCAGCTGCCCACTGAAGTATTTCCGAACCAATTCGACTTTGGGTCCTACAAGAAAAGAGCGTACCAATTCTTAAAAGGCCGGCAACGCACTCGCGAGCCCTCTGGCATTGAGAGTGTCCATAGGCGGCGGTATCACTTAACATCGTGCGTTTTCCAATTACAGAGCATAATGCGACTAAGTGCCGCACAATGCCGCATTATGCTGAAGCTTAATTGGAACGTGAATTAGTTTTCAAATGCATCAGCAGAGTGCGCTAAGTCAGTGTTGAAAAAAAAAATGTTCTGAATAGAGTTAGCAACCTCATTAATGTATAAATAATGTGGTAAACAATAATAATTGGTTGAAAACTATTTATGCTTATTTTAAGTAATTTGGATTTTGATTATTTCATTAACATTTTTTTACTGAAATAAGAGAAATCCTTTAAAGAATATAAGGTTTTAACAAGCTAAATTAACAGTAAAATATTTAGTTTCATGTAAGAAGTTTACATCATTTACGTTTTGAGTAATTTTTTAAAATGTTTTCTAAAAAAATTATATACTTTTTCAATACCATTGCAATGTTTACAAAAGTATAATCCTGTAAAATAAATTTGTTTACAGATCCGAATTTTAAAATGAATTTTTATTCATATTTTAAATGTGGAATATAAAAAAAGTAACTATTTATACCTTCATCCATACTTATATTTATTTTTTTTAGCAGTTTGAAATAACTTTAATTATTTTCAAAATCTACGACGAAACGAAAGCCTTACAAATTTTTCAACAATAAATTATATTTACTAACGAAAATTTCGATCAATGCCAACTTAAAGAAAAACACTGGTCAATTTTCTGTCACTGTATTGGTATTGATTGCGAGAGCATTACTTTTGAGAGTGCTCAATTGTGCGAAGCGTTGCTGTAGTTGGAACATTCAACGTTGAGCATTATACCGCATAATGCGCGCACATCATGTGAGCCTCCTGCCCGTTTGCCCCCCGTTCTTTAAAAAAAAAATTAAAGTTAATTCGATATATTGTTCCTGATATTAAAATATTTGTTATTATTGTATTAGGTCACTTAAGTAAATATTTAGATTTACCTTTTTGTAGGTAGAACATAAAAAATACGTAGCATTTTTTATTGCCCTCAAATAAGTCAAATTTGTCCCTTTTTCGGTGGAGATTTTTTTTAGTAGCAACACTTATGAAATGTCAGAATTCTACGAAATTAAAAATCAGAGTATAGTCTCAACCCTCAACTTATCTTATGTATCTATTATAACTGCAAAATATGTAATATTTTTCCAAAAATAAAGTAATTTTTTTCTGTAAAAAAATATTTGGCTATTATTTCCTTAATTTACTCTTGTACTGTAATCTACCACCTTCCTCGGGCGAGTGGTAACTCGCTCATGGGTTTCTGCTTGTTTCGAAAAGTTTTGCTTTTTTAGTATCAAAAATAACATTATAATTCAAATAGGGAAATAAAAATTACTCTACAAACCTGCTTAAGCGTACAAATATATATTTTATTTTAATTTTAAATTCATATAAATTAACCGTGGAAACATAAATTTGTACTCCGCGTACAGGAATGAACATAATTAACTTCACATCACTATACTAGAACCATTTTTCATATCTTCAAAATGTATTGTTTTGAGAACAAGTAGTGTAATCTCGTATGCCCCTAAAGATAAGGCGCGACCTCTGATAATTATAAGTGGAAAGGTCTGGAGTGAACGGATGGCTAGTGAATCGCCCATCACTTGTAGTGAAGCTTCCAATTGTGTCGCACCAGCTCTACCCGTAAGCTGTTCTCACCAATATGTTCATTGGAGTGACCTCCGGTGGAGGCAACGTCAACTCTCACTACGATTATTTAATTTGAGCTATACATAGGTAAGTACACTTAAATTTCGACAATCGAAACAAATAATAAACAGAGAAGATACTAATCGAATAAAACTTTTCAGGTACATCTTCTTTACTGTAACTATTTATTTGAAATAAAATTATGGCGCTTGATTTTGTTGCTGGTTGTATTGGAGGTAAATTAAATTCATACAATTCATACAAATTACAATATTTTTTTACATCATATAATAAAGCATGTATTTTCAGGTTGTGCGGGAATCATAATTGGGCATCCTTTGGACACTTTAAAAGTACACATACAGTCAGGTAGAGGCAGTGTTTCAATATGTACGAAGGAATTGTTAAAAGGTGGAACTTTAGCAAATGCTTACCGAGGTGTTGGAGCACCTTTAGGAGGAATAGCGGCAATCAATGCCATCGTCTTCGGCTCCTATGGTAACACGATAAGAGCAATGCCTAATCCAGAGTCTCTTGTAGCCCATGGATTTGCTGGAGGAGTAGCTGGAATCCTTCAAAGTATTGTTTGCACACCTGTTGAGTTAATTAAAACAAGACAGCAGCTCGCAAAGCCCGGTGAAATGATGCCAACTGGTGCTTGGTCTGGAGCCCGTTATGTAATACGAACTAGCGGATACAGGGGCTTATTCCGAGGATTTGGCATAACAGTGCTTCGAGACAGTCCGGGATTCACCATGTATTTTATATCTTATGAAGCAATGACTCGCGGAAATCAAGATGCTATGAGAGTGTTTATGGGTGGGGGACTTGCTGGGGCTCTTTCGTGGATAGTTTCGTACCCTGTTGACGTAATTAAGTCCAGATTGCAAGGCGACGTAGTACAAAAGTATGCTGGTGCATTCGACTGCTTTACACAATCATTACGAACGGATGGTTGGCGTTGTTTGACCCGTGGTCTTGGACCTGTGCTTTTACGAGCGTTTCTTAGTAATGGAGCCTGTTTTACTGCTGTAGCATGGACAGAACGCATCTGGCAGCAAATAATTAATCCTCCAGTTACCTCTTTTCATAAATCTAAAAGCGTCAAAGATAGCCCGGACTATGTTTACGATACGTGATAATAAAGGTTTAGGAATACGATATTCGATACACGTTGGTGATTCTATTCCCGAATATATGTATGAACGACGGGAAGGTGTTAAAAATATATAAATCAGATTTATATAGAGAAACTCATCCCGACTTTTATTATTTATTTTATACCTATATATCCTAAAATTGCTAAGAACTACGTTTTTGATAGGTCGGTAGTAATTTGAAATATTGGGTTAATTTTAATTAGTACATCACAAAACTTTACTTTTAAAAATAAAACTTCATTTGAAATTTCAATAGAGTATATTATAACATTCCTAAAAATTTTATACATTTTCAAAAACTATTCCAAAAAAACAGGTATGATTCACATTAGGAAATTAAATCAATCACATATTAAAATATTGCAAATTACTAAAATAATTGTAAATATTTTAAAAATAATACGGCTACGAAACAATTTTCAGGTTGGACTATAGGCATTAATTTTACTAACGGTAGCTCAATATTATTAATACTGACTAGATGTTCTGCATATTGATACTACCAGACGTTTTACCTGAAAAAATAATGTTAAAAATGGCTATTTGAACTACAATTTATTTATCTCTATGATTATGTAATAATTGATTAACCGATTCTCTTATAAAATATGTCTTGCAGATTTATATGCGACCTAAGCTAAGCCATAAAAAGTAGTACGCCATTATATCTAATATTTAAACAGTCCAATAAATTGTAATTTGTAAAATAATAGCTCTCAAGACAAATTATTCTTACTGAGTATTGAGCTAGTTGCGCACGTTGAGGTTCGATCGAAACACCACGAAGTGTAAATACATCTTAATAAAATACCCGTTCTTACCAGTTCAGTTCCGGTCCTGCTCCATCGACTGAATGGGGTGTTGAGGTGGTGGGGGTGGTGGAGGCGGTGCGGGTACATCTATATTGTTTTGGTTATCCATAAGCCCAAGCTGCTCTAGCATGTCTTCGTTGTCTTCCATTAGGTGAACCTAGGAAAAAAAAAATCCTAATACAACATAACAAGGTTTTAACATATCGAACATGTAGATTTACTTTAGAGTTTGTATAATTAACATTAATGCGATATTTTATGGACAGTTTATTTAGTTCTAATAATATATAAAATAACTTGTTTCTATACTATTACTTTAAAGTCCTGATAAGCGTCGTCCAAACACATTTTTGATTTGTCAAAATTTATTTGACGTAAACGTTGTCGTACAGTTTGTGAATTACTTTCCAAAATTTTTAAACTGTTTTTTATCTCAGTTGTTTACAGCGTACAAAGAAATGATTAAGATATAAAGGTCAGCAAAATAGTATGAAAGATAATGTATGGCGAGAAAACAAATTCATTCTTGATTCAATATTGATTGTTACATAAAATATTATCACTGAAGATTCATAACGTTACGGATACTCTTTAGACACGTAAATTTTACATTAACATTAACGAGGTTTAATTCAAGACATTTTTACAAGAAATTTTATATCGCACTAGTGTGTACGCAGAGATACAAGTTCACTTTCTATTGCATAACTCCGATGTGAAGGATGACGACGCAAGAATCAGAAAAGCAGGCGGAGGAAGTACAATTTTACGCGTTAATCCGAGGGTGATCAAACATAACAAACTTGCTCACTGATTGTAGGGAATTCGCCATATATTACAAAGCTAAACCGCAAATACAAATCTCTACATACATCTGGTAAAGCAGTACGATGCTGTGGATGCCTTGCGGTCTCGGAAAGGAGAATCTTCTGTCGTTTTTCTTCCATTAAACGCTCGCGATGTTTGTGTATATAGTCGTATACGTTGGGTAGACCCATGATAACGCACGCAGATAATGCTGAACGATAGATGTTCATGTCAGTTGCCTCGTACCTGGAAATAATCATTTACAATTTAAGAAAAAACATGTGTTCACAAAAAACACCAACCGAATACGATAGATAATGTTTTTAATTTGATTAAAAAGATATATTCACGCAGTTCCTTTCTCTTAAAATACTATGTTACTAAAGAAGAGTTATTAGTTTTTGGCCATTCTTTCGATTAAACACAGACTTAAGATAAAAGTCACCGGAAAATGACTCTTTTCGGAGGGAAGTAATTTACCCCATACACCTATGTGTTCAACAAAAAATGTACGGCATGCTGGAAAATGTTACCTATTTGTGAAGAACTCTCAAGATCATTTAATTTTATGTTGTTTTATATCATCATCACCTATATGCTAATCAGAGATATGTTGCGACCCTTGGCTTTCGACCGCTCCGCTGGAAATAAGTACGGCGTTTACGGGTAAAGTATCTGTATATGTGCCCAAAAGGAATTACACCAATGCCGTACAGTAATAAATGATCTCTATATTGCTTCTGCAACTATCGTCGAATTAAAAATTTGCACCGACTTCCGGTACCATCACTTTAGTACGGCACTAGGTTTTTCGACATTTATTTTTAATCATCTATACACTTATAACAAAGCCGTACATTAATAATTAGTCGAAATTCCTCATTGGTACCTGAGAAATTCCATTCACTCACGTACTCACATGTACCGCTCAGAAATGACGGCATAGTGCTCAGAGTTATTTTCAGATATAGTAACAGCCTTCTAAGCGTAATTCACGTTGGGTCATTTCACAGGTATTTTTTGTTCATGGGCTTGTGGTCTAATAATATTATTATAATAAATTAAGCTTAAAACACCATATGTGATGGATTCGACACACGCGGAGCTAAATCATCCAGGATCAAATTATTAACCAGTAAACGGGTTTTGAATATATATTATGTATTACTAGTATCCACTTACCACTCATTAGTTTTCTCATCATAACACTCAACATGATAAATAGTTGTAACGCCGTTGAAACCTCCGATAGCAAAAATCATATCGTCGATTACTTCTATCGCAAAGTTGCTCCTTGGATTGTACATATCGGGGACAGGTGACCAGGCGTTCGTGGCCGGATCGTATACTTCCCCACTACACATACGCGAAATGCCGTTAAAACCGCCTATGACGTAAATCTGAAAATTGTCCCGTCTTCGTTTTTACCTTTGTTCAATGTCATCACCAAAAGCCTATATTGTATTTAAGTATTGAATAAAAGGTTGAATTTAGTAATTGTTTGAGATTTTTGTTTCAACTAGTTTAGTAGTTTATAAAATAGTCTTCGCAGGCGATACGATACGAGTATTGAGCAAATCAAATATAATATGATAAGCTATATCCAGACATGTCCAATGTCCATAGTTTATTATTTTATTGTTTGCAATTTAGTTTATGTATTCTTTATCCTCATTAATATAACCTATCCCCCCCCCCCTTATTTGTCAAAAATAATCATTCCAATTGTCTTATATGTCACTTTTGAAGAAACATAAACACAATTTGACAGAAAGACGACTGATTTAGTTTTTATGAATTAGGGGGGTAATCTTTATGTCTGGCTCTCATACTGCTTAATGAGTTCGTTCTTCGTAAACAATTGTAGTTAATATGAATTGATGTAGTTGCTATCGCAACAGTAATAAAATTAATTCTTGAAGTCACCTTCATTAGCCACCCTTAAGGAAGCTATGTCTCATAAACAATTTTAATGACAAATACATTGGTGCTTAATACTTGATAAGATAGTTCAAGACGTAAAATGCATAGATAATGAATGTCTAGGGATATTAATAAATATGGGCCAAAGCATAAATATGGAAGATTTTCATTCTCCAGTACTTCATTCCACACTTCGTATGGCCGTTTCAATATGCCGTAACGAGCGACGGCTTTTTTAGCGTGGTGTTATCACACCTTTAAAAATCTTTAAAATTATATTCTAATATCTAATATATGAGGGTTTAAGTTTTAATAGAATTTATAAAAACTCGAAAGAGGTGGTGCACAATTCAAAGTTAATTTTATTAAAGGACAGGCTGTTCTTAATGTGACTGACATGGATTATTTTAAAAAGCAATACTTAATTTTGTATAAAACTAGCTGAACCGGCGAACTTCTTACCGTTAAACAAGTCAATGAATGTTGTATTGAAGATTACCTGCACTTAATTTAAGTAATACAATGAATACAAAATAAACATTAAATTCACTACTTTATAAGGAAATTAATACAAAAAGAAACGAGCGTCTGAAGGACGCATACTATGTTTCCGTTAATTTAGTATAATTTTATCTACAAATACGCTAACCTTACTAACCTACACACATTATATGGCTACCTTAAGAAGAACATGGTTACCTAAATACCTTGGTATGGTACGCAATGCAAGAGACTCCGGATCGTCTTGACCTCATCGGAGCCAAATTAGTCCATTGGTTCGTGTCTGGATCATATACTTCTACACTATTCATACATTCCTGCCCGTTGAATCCACCAGTAATGTAAATTTTATCTAGAATTATTTTTATTAAAACATATAAAAAAATTAAGGCCATTATTATCTTATACAACTATCGCAAAGATTGTGTCCCAAAAATTTGTCGTTATCACATTCAATAGTTGAGAAGTGAGGTATGGTCGTAGCCTTGTAGTGAAGTGTCTTAGTTCCTAATTCTATCTATTCTGTGCTATTTGCTCATTGTATATTTTAAACCCACTCACACACACTGTTTTAAATAAAAAATGTGATCCTACAGACATTGCTAACTATAGACCGATAAGCGTATAGAGGAATCTCAACTATTTGCTTCATGCGAGCAGAATCTCCACTCTCCATATAGAGGATTTTAAGCCCACAGAGCAAGCTGGTTTAAGACGAGGATTTTCAACGATTGATCATAAAAATGTTGTGGATCATATTATGTAGAAGTATAAGAGACCACTAAATCTGGCATTTATAGATTACCCAAAAGCATTATATTCCATCTCACACAGCATTAGGGAATGTCCTCCACGAATGCAAGGTACCTAGTTAAGGATATAGACTCTAAAAGTGTAAGCCAAGTATAACTAGAAAATGGGGACCCAAAAAAGCCG